CGGTCAATTGCATGACCAATTAACGAGCAAGCGTCGGCAGCAGCAGCGGCAGCGGGGGGGTGGGGAGTAAGAGCATCAGCTCAATATCCGGGCACGGGCTCCGCTCAGTGGGGCAATTAAATGACCAACGCTTGAATCGGCACAAGAGCAACAATTACGAATGCGGAGCAGGCAGCCGTAGCACATGCAACAACGCTTTCACTGCCCATTGCCAGCTGCCTCAGTTGCCAGTTGCCAGTTGCCAGCTGCCTCAGTTGCCAGTTGCCTGTTACTACAAAATCCTAGCCAAAGATCAAAACGTGGGCGAGTGTTAGCTTTCCCACGTTGCCGCTGCCGCTGCCGCTGCTGCTGCTGCTGTCGTCGTGGGGCTTGGTCAGCCATTAGTCACGCTCAGATTTGTTTATCTGGCGCGTCGCATTCGCCCGAAATCGCAGCGCACATATAGACATTGGCCGTTGTCTTTGCCAAAGAATAAATAAACAATCAGAAATATGTGCGGCAATGTCCATAGATGTTGCCATTGTGGCAATTCCCATGCCCATGCCGATACCCATTCCCAAAACCCATACCCATTCCCGTTCCCATTCCCGTTCCCGTTCCCGTTCCAGCTGCTGCTGTTGCTGCTGAAGCGCATGTGTGGGGCCCCAGGCTTATTATTGTTATTGGGGCCGCTGCCCGTTTGTTTGCATAATAAATAAGTCAGGCTAAGAGCCAAGTTTATGCCAACATCAGCAATAACAGCAGCAAGTGCATTAGCTGACAGCACTCGGCACTAAGATACCCTGTAACCAGCTACGAATTGCTGTTTGTATGATCCACGCTCAAATTTGTTTATTGTCCAACTGTTTTATAGTTTATAATTTATTTAGTTTTAAATAGAATTAATAACTAGAACTGGAAATCTCTTTTAGTGGAGCGAGGTATGCAAAACGTGAGATATTTTTTATCTGTGTATGCTTTACGCATCCTACCACTCCAAATTTCGTTTCTCTTGCGTCTTCAATCTTAGAAATATGCTTTAAAACGCCATTAGGAAATCGATATTTATCGATTTTAGTACAACGGGGTAATTACAGAACCTCCAAGCCAATTTCTATAGATCTTTTTATCTTTGAGAATACATGTACTTTAAAATTATAGTTTTTAAAATCGATATTTATCGATTCTTGGGCAATGGATGGGGGGAAGCATCATGCGAAATATGCTGTTTCTTGATCACTTAAGCTTTGAAGTATATTTTAAAATGAGTTTGAATATGGATATTTATCGATTTTAGGACATCGGAGGAGTTGTGGAAATCTTAAAATCGATATTTATCGATTTTGGGACAGCTTGGAAATTGACGCCGACTCAGCTGACTATCAGATAACCTTATGACACCCTTTTAACACATTTGTATTGGGTAGCTAGCAAGACAACAACAGAAATCAACAGAGAGCATTGCCGTTGGCGCTTGTTGCCGCCGTGAGATATATGACGCCCGCTGTAACATCCACACTTCTTTGTTGTATGCCAAGCGGCATTTAAGCCACCAAAGCAGCCAATTTGTTGAACAACAGATGGCAGTCTAAAATGGCCATAAAATTGTTTTGCACTTGGCATGGGAAGCGCAACCGAGGAAGTACCAACTCGAGCCGGATTCGTCGAGCCGTGTCCAATGCGCGTTCTGTGCAATTTACAATTAGTGCAAGTGGGAGCTGTCTATGTAGCTGGACCCAGAGCTGGAGCAGGTGTTGATTGTTGCTGCACCTTTCACACACAAACAGCATGATGGCGCGACTCGAGAAACGGACGCTGGACCCTTCTGCTTGACATTCGGTCTTGGCCGGAAACCGGGCGAGGTAAACTGACACGTATGACCCTCATCTCCAATCTTGTCACAGTTTCTTTGGGTGCTCTCGAATGCGCTGCGCCCATGATGACAGCGTCGGGTAATCATGTTGTGGCTGAGCACGACTCCCACCACATCAACTATTGATAGCAAACGTTTTCTATCCAAATCGGGTATAGCTAAAGGAAGGTACGGGCCCACACACAATGGCAAGCATGTCAAGTGGCATGATCGCAACAGCGGAAATTAAGTTTCGACTATGCTCGCGGAATATTCCACGCGCAACTGTGGAAAATTGGTGAAAGCCCGTTGAATGCAACTTTTTTGCTTGCACACACTTTTTTAAGAATCTTAATAAAATTCAATCGAGATATGTTTCACACCTTTCTCTAGGTCATCCCTCTTGGCTGGAAAACTTTTAGTCAAGGGTTTTATGATTTCATCCAAACGGATTTTTAAGCCTAATACGTTTTTCACTGGTTTTTCAAAAAAATTACCATATTTTCAAACATATTTTTTACATAAAATGTCACTGCACGTAATTCATCGATCGAAGCTGGGTAAAGCATTACCGGGCAAAGCCGGTTAACCTATGCTAGTATATATCCAAAATTATACCTCACTAACGTAAATAGTCTAAAATTGATAAAAGATTCCAAAAATGTAAAAAACACACACTTTAAATTAAAAAGGTGTCGCAATTTAAACCCCAAGAACGAGAATTAGGCGATATCCCAGAATTTTTCCACAAAAATAATAGCATGCAGCGCTTTGAGCAGAATGAAAACTTACGCCTATCGATTTTGTGCTATAGTCCCCGATGCGCTTTGCCTCTCTGCTACACTCAAAGTTTTTCCAAGCCCATAGAAATATCGACAATTATATGTGATAATCGCCATGATATTCATATTGCCATTTTCACCAAGATCTTCAGCTTGTGACCTCGATCCATGGTTGACCAGGCCCACATCATCGTCATCTGCTTACGTTCGTTAATGTATTTTCCTTTATGTACAGGGTGTACATAGCTGAAGCTCACCTACATTCACAAGAACATGGATAGACGACCAGATAGGCAGCGAGAAGCGGACGGACCGACGGACGGACGGACGGACGGACGGACGGACGGGCGGTCTGATGAACGGACGCACTCAGCGAACAGTATCAGAAAGTGATCATAAATCTGTATAACCTGTATGTTGATTTTCACCAACTCGGTCGCCACATGCAGGTGTGTCAGTGCGCGTGTGTGTGTGAGTGTGTGTGTGTGCACTCAAAAAAATTATTTTCTACATTTGAGCAAAGAAAGAAAACTAAAAATGTACTTATTTTTTTAGAATATAGGAGCGTATTTGTTTAAGAGAAGATAATTTTGCGCACTTAAGAAAATTGTTCGAAAAATTAAGTTTTCTTTGTATATAAGACTTGTGTGCGTGTGTGTGTGTGTGTGTGTAACGAGGCAATGTTGGAGTCGCGTTCTGTGTGCCCCCAAATATGAAAAGTGAATTTTTGCGGCACTCGCTCCACTTAAGCCTTCGACTTGGACGCTTTTGTTTGCTGTTGTTGTCGTTGTTTTTTTGCTGTCATTGTTGTTGTTATTTTCGGTTGACTTTTATATACACTTTTGTCTTTGGGTCGCAGTTACTTGATTTTATTTTATTTTATTTTATTTAGTGGTGTGTTTTTTGCGCACTTGGCCTTAATTGCGCATGCGCGCGCACTTTCAATTCCTTTGGCTGATGACGCGGACTTCGCTACGGCTGCTTGGCCATTGAGGGGGATAGGGGGAACGGGCCATGGGGCGCGCAGGGCGAGGGGCGAACAAAACGTGTGGCAAATTAAAGCCGAAGCAAAAGTAGATTTCAAGCGCGGCAATAATGATGCGGCACGGAAATATAATAATATTCATGCTGTTGTCTGGGCTTAGCCGAGTGTGTACAGCGCTCGGACCAGGGCAGGGGGTCAGGTGGGCAGGTGGGCTGCTGGGCAGGTGGGCAGGTGGGGTGTGGTCCAGGAGCAAGAAATTGAGGCGGGCGAATCCAAACGAAAACTGCACGAAAACACAGCGAGCCGCGTCGAGTGCTGAAACTGTTTTGGCCCAGGCCCGGGCCCGGTCAAAAAGCAAGTTCATGGCAACAACAACAACAAGCTAGAAGCAGAGTTAAAACAAGAAGAGAGGCAGAGAGAGCATCAGCACAGAACACCGACAAGGGCATACCCTATTGAAACATTGTAAGCACAGCTGCCAAAATCGCTAAAAATTGAACAAATTTATTTTAATTATGAACTTCATTGGAAGGGAAGGGAATACTATAATGATATTATATATAAATCAAAATGATATTACTTAGCAAAACATTGTTGCATAACAGTTTTACAAGTCACACTAACCATAGTCCTGTTTTAGGTTATAAGTAAGGGAGTACCCTTAATGTTATCAGCCAGGTAAACTGCCAGCTAACTGCGGGTTAAATCGAATTCGAATAGTTCAGCTACGGCAACTTGTCCATTCATGCGTAAACCCGCAAAGCCTGAATGAACATGTTTTGCTACCCTGATCTAATTGAAGTGTATCGAGAAAGAAAGAAAAAAAAAGAGCTTTAAGATTGTCTCGCACACAGATTTCTAGAGGCTGCCAGAGGCAGCGAGATGTTTTTATTATAAATTGTATATATTTTTTTTATATTTATTTCTTTTTTTTTTTTTTTTTGTTTTTTGCTACTTTGGTAACAGGTTCGTCGTTGTTGGGAAAAAGTCAAACGGCTCAATAATCGAAGACGGCTCCGAGTGCGAATGCGGCTCCAACTCCGACGGCTGGGCTCACTGGCAGCCGGATAAAATGAGGACAACAACAGCGACAACTTTAATGAGGTTATGTCTAGCTTGTTGGTGTCTGTGCAAATGTATCTGTATCTGTGTATCTGCATCGGTGTTTTCCTATCTGTGTGTATTACAGTCCCCATATCCATGCCCGTATATACTATACATAAACATATGCACATGCATACACATGTATGTGTGTCAGCTGGGATAGGCCAGTTTTGGTCTTTTTGCGTTTTTGTTTTTTCGTTTATCTTTTTTTTTGTGGTTTTTGCTCAAATGCAACCCCGAAACAAACATAAGCAAAACAAAACCAAAAAAAAAACAAATGCATTGCATATTTGCTTACCTCTTCCTTTGGTCGTAATGCCTGGTACGAGCACTCGTAATTGCTGTTGACTTTTGTTGTCTTGGCTGTAGTTATTAATGTTGCTGCATATTTTTGTTAGCTTACAGCAAAATTGCACAAATAATGAGATTACAAAAAAAAAAAAGTAAGCCAAAAAATAAACAATCAAAACGCCCAACAGCTCGATAAAATATGCACAAAATTCATATGCTTTTCACTTCACACTACAACGAAACCAAAAAAAAAAAAAATAAACCATCGATAACAAAAACAAATCGTGGCTTGAAAGCAGAAAAAACCGTTGCACGCCTGCGCTTTCAAAATTGTTTTGGCAAAGCTTTTTGTGAGACGCAGACGCAGCGCCAACTTTCACGTACGAGTGTTCAAAGCAAACTGACAACGGCGACGGCGATGGCGATGGCGACGGCGTCGACGACGACGACGGCTCCTCCAATTCGATTGCGACTGCGCCAATCACCGCTGCCGACGAGCAGCTCTGCATGTTTAGCCGTTTTCAAGCTAGAAACGAACAAAGCGTGCTGTCGCAATAGATCGCATCTAGTCACAGTTTGGAAATTAATGCTAACAACAAACATTTTGTTCTTATTACATAGTTGTTATAAAAGCTGTAAGACAATATTTGATTTAGCAATTCGAGACACAACTGTTTTTATGTTACTCTGCTACAAACGAGAACTCTGTAGCTAAAATGTTAAGCTTTTAACAACTCTGGAAACTCATTTAGAACCTTCTCAATATATTTTTCCACATTTAAGCTTCGTACTAAATTGTTAGAAATTTGTTTTTTCTTCTCACAAGACTAAGCTGTAAAAACTGCTGTAGTATTCTCCTCATTTTACGGCTATCAAAATTGACAGCACTGTTGCGCCTGCTCTATTCGCTTAGTCGGCGTTGCCACTGCGTTGCAATTACACCGACTTATTCGCCGCGACCGCAGTCGTTGCTCGTTGACTACGGACGGCGCGACGTCGTCGCCGCCGCACTTTGCCGACTGATTAGCTGCCGATGCTGCCACAGTGGTTGCTGCCTTGCCTCAGTTAATTTCCTTCAATCTTTGCGGCTTTTTCGCATATGGCTTAGTGCTCAAACATGCATTACGTGTATACATAAGAATGTTTGTACGAATATTTACCTGTACAACTGTACATTCGTAATGGCCGTCCGCAAATTGACCCATAAAATTATAACGTTGATTTTGTTGAACTTCGCTTTGCTTGTGATAGATTGTCATAGCCCATATTCTGATTTTCATCAAAGACTTACATATACAGTGTGTATTCATATCAACACCCACACACAGGTAGAAACATCAGTAGCTTATCCAAGAAAAAAGTCAGTCAAGAGACTTTTCAGAAAGACTGTTGTGGCAGATTTACTGTACTTGCTTTCAGGACAGATACATGGGTATTGATATATGTATGGATCGAAACGCTTCAATATCATTCGAAATATAATCACGATCTGGTCGTCGACGCTGAGTTATTCGATTAGCATGCAAAAAGCTGGCCCCTGCCAGCATTGGCTAATAGAATTTAAACTCAAGCGGAAGATACACGCATCACTGAGCTCTTAACTGATTTGATTTCTGCATTAAATATGTAAATGAAGAGTAATTTTATAAGAATTCTATGTGACTACACCCACCACAAAAGGAACTCCAACTAATAGTCGAGGCTGCAAATCGGTTTAAGCTGAACCAGTCCGAGCCCGGAAACCCGAATTTATTTTTACTTTGAATCGAACCTTTAAACGAAATAGTTGCCCAATATCCCATATCCGAAAGACCAATCTTCTACAAAAAAGGGTTTGGTTCAAAAAACCTTTTGATGGAGACCCAGTCCCAAAGCGTAAATAACTTACCCTAAACATTTGTCTAGGCATATATGTAGATGTTAAAAGGTTAAATTTACAGTGTATGTATTATAAATACATACTATGATATATATATGTATATATATATATATATGTTTTAATGTTTAAAGCTTGGGATACTTTTAGTAAAACGGAATATTTCCAGCCCTGCTAGCAATATGTTGTTTAAGATCTTACCTTATAGAGCTTATTCAATGAAAAACTTACCTAGCCTTTAGCTGTTTTAGCTGACATTAAACAAGTGCCACATAATACTTAACACTTTTTTGATCAGCCACAAAAGACACACTAAAAAGTAGTCAATGCAGACTTTTGTTTTACTGTTCGATTTTAATAACACCACATTAAGGACGTCTGATCCTGTGAGAATCCTTTTACGTTCTAACCTCAAACGCCTTATAGGTATACTCTTCGATAGTTTTCATATTCTTTATGATGAACTCCTTAACGGCAGACACGTATTCGGCTGCCGAAGCGATGACCTTTTGAAAGGCCTCAATTACCTTGCCCTCACCCTGCAGCTGGCCCTTGTAGAAATCTTCGGAGACCCGGGTTATGTAGCCACGTAGTCCCAAGAGTTTTGCCTGGGCTACGGCGAACAGTTCAAACGCCTCCTTTGGCACTTTTCCACGGACCTCAAAATCGCAGGCCATGATCTTTGGCTTGGCTTCGTGAGTTGCCATTTTGCCTGGGTTAATTTAATATTATCGTAGATGCTGTGAAATAATTTCTAAAGCCTGCTCTGAACTAAGCTAGGATCCTAAGATTCCGTAAGACACCAAAAATGCGCTGATCTTAGTAAGAGATCAGAAACTGAAAACAGTCGGGCAATAAAATGACAACAACAAAAAAATAAAATTGACAAATGTCTCGCACTTGCTACTTAGTGTAAATTGGTACGTAATATAATTATAACGAAAACAAAATTAAATTAATTTAAATCACAACTCGGTTTCAAGTCTTTTTTGACATCAAGTCGCCGTAGAATGTAACTGCTTAGCGTAATTCGTATCTCAGTCTAAAAGCGATTTATCTCGACTTTGTTTCTCGTCGACTCTTCCCTTAAGACGGGTACCACGGTGCGCCTAGAGGGGCCACATGAGGGGAAGGGGTTGAACATAAAATGATTATAAATTAAATAAATTGCTTTATTAAATAACAAAGACGGCGACAACAACAACAACAAAAAATCACGAGAGACACACACAGGAGACAATGCTACAAATAAGGTAATTAACATAAGACGTAGAACGCACCGACGCAAAAATACCCTTAAAATCGACTTGATGTAAAACCTATGTTGAAGCAAAGCTTAATGAAAGTCGTATTTGTTTGCTTGGCATATTCCCTATTAATTCCTTCGCTCAAAGAATATTCATACTCTATATATTACAAGATTTGAGCATGATAATAAGACTTGGCAAGAATAATCCATATATATTTAGAGTGTGTTCTTTTAATATACCAAATATCCACTTTTAATACAATTTATGATTTAATAAAATGCTGTTTAAATCTAAATAAGCCCTGCACAGAAGTATAATATGGTTTCACAAAGAATAAAGATATGTCTGTAGAATAGATTTGACGATAAAAATGTAAATTCAAAATAAAAAACGAATCTTTTTTGTCAAACTACTTTAAAAACGTGTAAGGCTTGATTTTTGAATGGAATGGAAAGCAAATGTGAGTTGTTCTCAAGGGCAGGTGAGGCTAACAGCGGCTTGGCACGTGACGTCACGCGAGGTGATTTCAAGCAGTTTTCCCAGAAAGCTTCGAAAATTCGCTGCACGCAATTATGCGCAATTTCCATGACAGTGGAACGTACGAAATAGCGCGCAATTATTATATAAGACATGACCAGTTCCAGATTAAACAGATAGCAAGTTGCACACAAACATAAGCATAGACATACTCTTACATACACAAGTATATATATATATATATATATATAGCCATATATTTAATGGATTCCTGTTAACAGTTTGATATTCGTTTAAGCCAGTTTCTTGTTCGTGCACAACAGACTTTAACTTGAGTGCCATTTAGATATAGGATATAGGTATATTTGACATGTATAAAAAAAAATGCATATAAGTATATAGATGGGTGTACACGATATTCATATAGATTTACAGAAGATTCATTGTTCGCTTAATGACCCACACAGAAGCCATGAGAATTTCGATTCACAAAAAAAAAAAAACAAAAAAAGAGACACGGTGAATACCCCTTGGTTTTTGGGGCTTACGTTCTGCAGATGGATAGCGTATCCAGTAGAAAGACGGCGCCATTGATGATCATCAGCGAGCCGGCGGCGATGGCATTGCGCTTGCGATCCTTCAAGAAATCGTACATATCATGCCACTCATCAATGACCAGTGCACCGGAGGCCACGAACAGAATGCAGCCCAGCAGCGAGATAAGGGCATTGAGGCGTTTCTCCACAACCGAATTGATCACGTGTCCTAAGCGAAGAGAATTAAGGATTAGGCATGCATCATCAAGTCGAGGTCCATACAAATCTGTGGACATCTCATATATATACTCACCGATCAGCAGCACGGCGCAGATGATTGTGAAGCCGCCAATGGTGCCGCAGACAATCAATGGACGCTTGCTCAGATCCCCGACAACCTCATAGAGCACGACGCAGGCAATGGCAATGCCCTAGGATTATAATAAAACATGAACAATAACAATTACTTAGCTATTTGGTTAATAAATGGAGCCTTCCGAACAAATAAAAATATAAAAAAATCTTTTTTACCTTGCAGAACTCTTGTAGAAGATATTAAGATTCTGCCAAGCAATGAGACGTCTTCGTCTGAGTAAAGTATATATCATATTGATTGGAAATAACAGCCGATTCGATATAGACTTTCAAATGCCCAATCAAATTTATCAGCGTTACAAATCCAGCCAAAATTCCCAGCAATTCAGTTTTGGATTCGAACCAGCTCCCTGCTTTGAGTGTCAGTTCACGAACAAACCTTGTTTGTCACATATTTGTATACTCTGGTAGAGGGCATTATAATCTTATCATGAAATGTGTAACGCAAGGAAGAAGACACCTCCGACCCCATAAAGAATATATTTTCCAGATCAGCATCAACAGCCTAGATCATATAGCTATGTCTTTCCGTCCGTCCGTCCGTCCGTCCGTCTGTCTGTCTGTCCGTCTGTCTGTTTCTATGCGAACTAGTCTCTCACCTTAAAAGCTATCGACTTGAAACTTATGTCGGTGTTGATAGCTACAAAATAAAAGTATCGGTATCGATTTTTATCGATTGCTTGGAAACGGGGCAAGTTGTCGATTATCGGAAACAAACTCGTACTGCGCGGGTACTAGGAGGAACTACGTTCTGATGTCGACGCGTTCATACATACCGACGGACGGACAGACAGACGGACATGGCTAGATCGACTCGGCTATTGATTCTATTCCAGAATATATATTCTTTATGGGGTCGGAGATGCTTCCTTCTGCCTGTTACATACATTTGCACAAAAGCATTATATTCTTTTTACTCAATTTTAATAGGATCAGGGTGAAAATATGACTTGGTTCCGGTTTCGTTTCTAGATTCGAACCGCTTCGGGTTACAGCCATTTATCAGCCCTGATATATATATATATTCCTTCCCTATTATACACTTTGTCATAAATATTTTTAAATTCCAACTTGAAATAGTTAATATAGTTTAAGTACATAAATTGGACTTTTAATTAGCAAAAAATGAAGCTGTGTTTCATGACTAATACTGGCTAATATTTCTAATAAATGTGACCCATGTGATTCATCCCAAATTCCGCTTAAAAAGTACATAATCTGGTTGAAACTGCTTTGGCTTCCGCAACTTTTATTGGGCATGAAATATGATGAATGTGTCAGCGATAAAAATGGCGGCTGTGGCAAAGGCCAACACGCCCGAGGCCAAGATGGTGTTCTTTTCGCTGGCAATCTCATAGCAGTTCATCCAGCGATCGAGTATGATGGCGCCGGTGGACACGAAGAGCACACAGCCAGCTACCGTGAAGAGTATATCGATGCGCTTGTCCTGTTTGGCGCCCACCAAGTGTCCTGCAATTGAAGTGGCAATTCAGGCTAACGGCCGACAGGCATCGCATCTCCACAATCACAATATTACCTATGCTCAGGACACTGCATATGATCAGATAGCCGGTCAGCGTTCCACAGACCAGCATCGCCTGGCTGCTGTAGCTGTGATCCGCCACGCTCTCAATCAAAATAATGATGCTGGCGGTGAAGATCTGTGACGAGGGCTCGAAACTTCGATGAGATGCTGTGCTCGCCGACGGACGACGGACGACGGACGACGGACAACTGACAACTGACAACGGACAATGTGGGACAGGAGGCACACAGATACAGACAGACACAGAAGTTGGTACAGTAAATTTATAGATAGATAATAGAAAACCTCAAAGAGCTTGATAATAACGCTTTCGAAAGTTGTTTTAATTTATTTTAAATTGTTTTTAATGTCAAAACGAAGACTGCAAAACGGCTTCGAGCCCGGACTTTAAGTTTATTTATGTACAATATGCCGAGTCCTTAACCCAAACAGTTAACCAAAACCAGCCCAGGCAAAACTCGAACCATATAAAAAGTTTATGCTCCGATCCTTATTAAATTTAAGGCATAAATCGTATAACCGATAGATTGTATGCGTTTATTAATAATTTGCTTTTCTATTATAGGCTGAATGAGGTATCCAAATAAATGAGTACACCAAATTTAATGTCCATATCTATAGAGATATGCTTAAAAATATTATTTGAAATCGATATTTATAATATTAAGGAAAACGAAGAAACTTTTGATTTCTACTCAAAATTGGCATCTACTGCGTTTGGTAAGATAAATCCAATTTGGATACAAGCTATTTGGTTTTTCTAGACTGAGTCTAGGTTTGGATTGCTCTTGGGGTAATTCATGGTAGAAAATAAATTGGAATTCTTAGTACGAACCGGTTCGGTTCAAAGCCAAATTTTGCCTTGATTTTAATAATTCATGAATTATCAAAGTGTCTGGAGTAAAACTGGAATCCAAGATAGGAACAAATAATATTTGGAAGTTAATTAAAAGTATATTCTGCATGAAATTCGGTTCAATTTTAGTCAAGGAAGTTGGAAAGCTGTATGGAAAACTTTACTTCAGAATTTTTCAATTAAATTTCTAGTTTAAGTAGCTAGATTTAATATTGACTTTACAATCACTTTATAAAACCTAAAATACTTAAGCTAAGTTAAAGGAACATCTTGGCTAAGTAAATAAGTTAACCCTAAAGTGGACTTGAAGTTTTGGTAAATTGAAATTAAATTCAACTTGAGAGCCAGATGCGCACTTTAGAACATTCAGAAGCACATCCAACAAGCTAATTGCCAACTATCTATCAGTTTCGTAGAAGAAGCAGCACTTAAGTCGAGTGGCATTCATATGTTATCACAAGTCGTATTGCCTGTTGTCATTTAATACGGCAAAAGTCGGCGGACTTAACGCCATACGCGATTGCCAACTCTGGAAAGTGAGCGCTGCGAGTTCGATGTGTCTGAAACCAATTTGCTTATCAGATATGGAAATTATTTAGATATTGATATGGCAAATGGGCGTAATATTGATGAGCCATTTAGCGCTCGCAGTGTCAACAAATGGATCTAACTAGCTAACTACCTTTAGTCGCACATACAATATAGATTTAAACATATATATATATATATATATATATGTATGTATAGGGGATGGAGAGAGAGCTACGCCTGTTGGAAATGCGAACGCTCCCTTGTTATAAGTGTGGCCGGGTCTCTGGAGCAATCAATCAATCAATTAGAAACGCCGTTAGAGGCCGCTAATTGCCAGCTAAAAGGATGGGACAAAACAACATATCCTGTCAGGGCGCCCACACTCCAAGCCGCCAATTGTTTGATTTGTAATGCGAGCTGCCAACAACAACAACAACAAGAACAACAAAAAGTCATTAAGGTAGCATGTTTAGGGGCTTTGAGATAAAAAACACAGGCTCATGGTCATATCGGACTAGATATATGCACATATATATATATATATATGTATCTACGTGTGTATATGTGTATCTATATTTGCGGCTTATTGTTTATGTCACGCCCATTAGCAGCAAATAAAATTGGCTCAAATGATGTCAATAATTACCAAATGTTGCGCACATTTGTTTGCATATGCCAGTCACATTCTACTTTATTTATTGCCTAATTGGCAAGAGACAAGCATTTAGCTCTTCACAACAAAAAATAGCCGCAAATGTTTCAGTATAAAAACCCAAAATCCAGGCTCGTATTTCAGGCGTGTTTTTTTTTTATGAATTTGGGTGGAATAATTCCGTCTAATACAGCAAAAATAATTCTAACGTTTTTATATTAATATAAGCAATTTTTTATGATTTCCAAATTACTTTTTTAAATTATGGATACATTTCTATGACGCTTAACTTAAACAAACATAAACATTCTGATTAAAAATTTAAATTTGTAAACTTTAAAACAGCAAATAAAATAATTAGCATAATAATAATTCAAATAGAAATAATAATAATAATAATAATGATAGTAATAATAATAATGAAAATTAGAATAAAATAATAGAAAAAATAATAATAAAATAGCAAAAAATTTAAAAATGAGATAATAAAAAAATGAAAATTACATTAATAAAAATTATAAAAATAAAAAGAGTACTAACAAATTAATAATGATAAGAAGAAGACGAAGAAAATTAAAATAATAATAACAATTGAAATACCAATAATAATTATTATTATTACAATGTTCTTTACTTATTTATAGCTCAACAAATTTTGGCAATTACCTAAATTAAAATGCCTCTAACGTATTTTGGCATGGCCATCTGGTTTTATGGACTCTTAAATATTTGATTACCAATTCGTGAGACAAATTGCGTACAAATATGAACTTGGGCCTTGCGGCGGCCCATTTGATTACAATAGAAAAATTGATTAATTTTGACATTAATGACTTTTGGGCTGAAAACGCGTTTTGGAACTTTCGAAAAGCTTCACCGAAAAATTTGTAAAACTCCACGTCGCAAAAATAAAGTTATTAATATTGATTTTAGTTGCATATTATTTTTGCAATTAATTAAAGCCAATCCCAATCGTTAATTGTCCTACAAAATGTTCTTTATACCTTTCTGAAAACTTTGAATATCTTTTGCGTCTGCCGATCTTGGCAGATGACTTTGAAGTGCCCGATTTTCGGTTTATAGCTGGCAAGCAATATTATATATGTAAATTTAGTTAAAATTTTTTTGATCAGCAAGAACTTTGGTCTAAATATAATACTATTATCATGCGACTTAATAGTGTAACGATTTGTTTATAATAAAAAAATATTACAAATTTCAAGGCTGCGAAAAAAAAAGCATTATAAAAAATACAATTTGTGTATAAAGAATATCTATATTTACAAATATTTAGGCAGTCAACAGTTTTATGAGGCCTCTACCAGGCAGATTTTTTGTACTATCAAAAAAACAATAAGAAAAACAGATGAATACAAAAATACGTTTTTGCATCAGCACAACTATTTAACAGGGAATTATCCCTGTCGAAGAGCAGAGAGCTGACCAATTCCAGCCAAAATCAGCTTAAAAATAATATTTTTTTTCCTTTTTTTTTATTTTTGCGCTGGAATCGATCAGTGCCTTCTGATGTCTACCAAGCGAATGACTAAGGGAATGATGTTTAAAAATAATAATAATAGACATCAAGCTATCTAACAGCTTTTACTTTTGAGAGCTTTCTTATAGATGTAATCATTGTATGTATTTGCCTTTATCTCTGAACTAAACTTTCGACAACTTCCAAGTTTTACGTTTGCGAAATGCTGCTCAAAAATCAGTTTAAGGAAAATTCAATGGAAAATGGACTGTGTACATTTCGTCTATTTAGTTTACACAATTTGCATGTGTTGAAGATCGTTACTTGGTTCGTTTACAATTGCCAGGCTAAAGCACGAAAAAGAAACAGAAATTGGGAATTTCCAGTAATTATGAAACCCGCCTATTTGGCTGGCCAAAGTGAGGCCCAGCGGCTGTTTTTTGGCCTAAATATAGCCGAGCAACTTGTACAAATTAAGCGCCGCCGTTTCGTACCATGCCCATATATCAATTTTATTGGAAATCAGGTGCGCTTTGTACGTAGTTAAAGGCATTTGGCAATTAATTATATGACGCTGACACGCCACTGACATTGGCCAATGCCCCGCGACCGAGCTGAACGAGCTGAACGATCTGAACTAGCTGAACGACCCGAACATTGTTAGGGGTTGGTGGCAACAACGCCCCGAAAACAGCAACAATGAATGGCCAATTGTGAAATTAACAAATGCGCTACAAATAGCGCCAGTTAAAACATTTATTAGCTCGTAAATAAATTTGTGAGTGTATTCGCAGATTTGTGTTTGTTTGTTTTTTTTTTCGCCAAAAAGCAAAGAACTTATAGGCGGGGTCACACTATACACGCTTTTTGTATATATAGTATGTACATAGTATCTAATGCAAACAATCATTGCCGGTACGTTATCTGCAACGCTTTGAGCTCTTTCCCATGACCAGCGATCCATAAGCCAATAACAAATATTTGGCCAAAAATGTGCCCCGATCGGGTCTGATGCGTCAGCACTGGCTGCTGCTGCTGCTGCTGGTCAGCTCATTAAGCGACCCACCGGCAAAAATAATATATATTGAAAATCAGCTATGCCGCTCACACCGAGTTTTTGTTGTTGTTTATTCAATGCAGCGCCCGCAGCTACGACCTTTGTCGGCTGCCCCACTAGCGCACATGGCGTATGCGTAATGTAAATCCGTTTGCGCTCGCACTTGCTATTATGACATCATCATCATCATCACCATCATCATCATCAGTTCGTGATCAACTGCCGCTGACTACGTGCCAGTACGATTTGAGGCGCGTCTCAGTTTGATTTTAATTCATTTAATTAGTCAGCTAAAGCCACAAAACTAAGCCGTATACCTTTAAGGTGTGGTCATGGGCCGTAACACATGCAACACAATCACGTCGCAACAGTATACACATATTGATCTAGCCATATGGCCATAACGTTAACATGGATTAATATCCAAACACAGTTAACCTTAATAAAAATGTGGATCATATTATGATTCATTTTTTATGTCAACTTTTGTTTACGTACAGCATGAACAAGGAGAGCAACAAGAACTATTCATTTCTGTATGCCGAATTCTAAATACACTTGGAAACACTCTTGACCTAACAAAAACTCATTCATTATAAATAATGCTTATGCGAAAACAATCTATACAGATTATGTTCCCATTCGATCTAGGCTTCTAGCCACATACATGTATGTATGTATCTTATTCACTTTTTTATTCGAGTAATGATTCTAATGACAGCTTTAGAGTATATTTAACTTGTCGTGAATGCGTAACATATTTCGTGACAATAAACGCATTTATAAAGAGCTCAATTGAAAGTCAAGATTAAAATAGTCGGTCAATTAAGCGACAAATTTGCACATGATATGTATGTGAAAGCATCCAAGGCAAAGTCAATGCCCTATATTTAACTGTGATCCACGGACCTAGGTAATCAAATCTAAAGAGCAATAATGAAGTCATTCAGGCTGTGCGATAAGCACAAAGCCACAAGATCCATGCACAAAGTGGCATGCGTCATGTTGCACCGTTGTGAAACGACGTTATCAATATCTCGAATGAGTACAACCGGAATGCCAATAATGCACATGAATAATAAACAACAACAGCTGATAAACTCCAGTGAAAACCAAAATGCAATGACCATTTAAATATACAGATGTATGTGCATATATTCTAAAACAATTTGCCTATTATTATTATATATTATAACAATTTGTACAAAACAATACAGAAATCGCAATTGAAGCCAAAGTAAGTCGTTTCGCGCTTCAAACAAGCAAATAAATAAACAAGTCGGCATAAAAAAACCAGACTACGTAACGGTGACATCATGGACAGCATCATCTCGGCATTGTTCGCCGGAAGTCATATCCAATGAATGGGTTTTTTTTTTTTAATATTCTTTGGCAACCATGAGAAACAAGCGACCAATTGTTTGGGGGGTAACTTTTATACGGTTGATCTTAAGATCTCACAATATTAATGACATCATGCCCGGCTTGGGATAACAAAAGACTAATGCGCCAGCACGCATTAGAGAACTACGCAGTTACGAGTGCTAATGCCATGAAAAAGGAAGCACAAAACCAAAAGCAAAACAAAAACTTCCAAAAACAGAACCTCAAATGAAGTCATGACCAATAATGAAAACGAGTCTGGCCAATGGAAACCGGTTGCTTCAAGGCAACTGGCGCAAGGGTAGAAATAAGCAAAGAAAAATAAATCAAAACAACAGCAACAATATTCTCAGCAGCCAGCAAGAGGAGTTGTTTCAAGTAAGGTGAAAGGGGAAAGAGAAAAAGAAAGAGAACGACATAAAGGGAGCAAAAGGGAGCAGCAGGCAATACAAACACAAACGAGCGCAGATTTGTCTGTTACGAAGCGATAGTCAAGACAACAACTGATGAAAAGGACTCAAAGCGTAGATACAGAGAGTCATTGTGAGTCGCATAGATATAGATAGTCACACACAGAATACATACATATGTATAGAATTGACTGATCAGTGGTTGCACTTACCAGCTCGATGATCTTTAATAGCAAACGGTTGTTAAACTCCATGGTGTTTCCTTTATGACGTTTGTACTTCGCTTTTTAAATGCTTTAGCTTTTGGTTTATTCCCACTCACGCTCGACCTGTGTACACGTCTTGCCCAAACGCTGTGCGAAAACTGACTAAACAAAAGCAGCGCCAGCGCGCGCATCCAAAGCTCAGGCAACTTAGGCAGCGTCCATCGGCGACGGCGACGGCGATGGCGGCAGCGACTGCCGACAGCGACAGCGACTGCGACTGCGGACAGCGACAATGCTATCGACGTTAACGACAGCAACTGGTCTGCGTATTTATGTATTTTGTACGCATTCACACAAATACTCTTATTCTTATCAACATCAATAGCCAAATACTAACTATTTACACATGTATGTAAATAAATTATAAATATGTATGTACATCTACGTATTTGCAGAATATCAGGACTCTTTCCCAAAACCGATAAATTAACGTTAACAATCAAAATTAAGGATTATAATACGGCTTAAATGAAATAACTAAACTTTTTCCAAACTTTTTAGAAGTTTTTCTGTATATTTTTTGTGCTCTTTATGCTATTATTTTGATTTTTTTACAACATGTTATTGAAGACGGACTTCATATATAAATACAATATCTCTATATATAAAACTTTTCGTCCTTACTGACTGACTGACTGACTGATTGACTGATTGACTGATTGGTGATCAACGCACAACCCAAGCCGTAAGAGCTAAGAAGCTGAAATTTTCACTGTAATTACCTTAAATGAAGAAGGTGCACGTTAAGACGGGGTTTCGGGAAATTCCACCCGCATGTGGAATTTTTCGCATCGCGAAAAACGTTTGTATGAAACTTTTTTGTTTACCATCCGATCGGCCTCAAACTGATTTTCAAAGGGTTTTGTTCAAATTCATTTAAGGTGTTTCACACTTCTTGGAAAATCTATGCCTTCTTGGTAGAAATGGGGGTCAAAGATTTGGTGGGTGACGCTTCACGCTCAAATTCATTACCAAAAATGTATATGAAAAATCATTTGAGACGTGTTTCACACTTTTCGCGGAATGCAAGCCTCCTCGTAAGAAATGCGATTCAAAGATTTGTTGGGCGACGTTTTAAGTTTTGTCCGATTTGCTTCAAACTTATTTTCAAAGCTCTAAATAAGAGTTTACTGAAAGTGTTTCAGCGTTTTGGGAAATTCCACCCGCAACCGTGGTAAATTGGCGGAAAACAGCTGTATGAAAGTTTTTTGTTTCGGTTTCAAACTGATTTTCAAAGATCTTTGAGGGAATTTATTTTATGCGTGCCACGGGCAAGGTCGGGGTATACCGCTAGTATATATATATATATGTACTTATGTTTACATATATAATCTTTAATGGACGCAGACTAATTTTGCTTGTTGTTGCACGGAAAATTTAAAAAGAACACAATTTGTTAAGGTTTTCACACTGTGATAATGAGAAAGGAGCAAACCCGATTTAAGCTGAACCGGTTCGAATCCAGAATACCTATTTATTTTATAATTTAAACCGAACTGTTCCTAAATACAACCAAAGCCAATATGGTTACTTCAAAATAAATAACTAGGCCCCCAACTATTCAATTTATGTGACCATATTGAGTACATACCACCATTGGGTAGAGATACATTTTAGCCCGCAAAATATATACAACAATTTCTTTGTTTCAATTGGACGGGAAATAAATTAAAATTTCAATTGTTACATTAAAGCTTAGAAAATATACTACAGTTTTGAAGCAAAACCTAGGCTTTGGATGTGCTAACAAGCTTTACGAGCCGAGTCGGAGCTGTAAACCGAAACACCAACCATATATTCTAATGTAATGTGTAAGAAACCAGTTTTGTTGTCAGTCTAATAAAATTGTATCTCTGCTGTAACTTACTCACTTGAGAGAGAGAAAGAGATAGTGCTATCTCTCTCTCGCTCTCTACATACTTGTCTTTTGGTGATGTGAATGTACAAATGTATAACACTTTCTTTCTCGCTCTTATACTAATAGACGGCAATACGTAAGTAGCTAAACTTTTGGATAAGTACATATTTACACCATATATTTACACATATACTCAGGTTGTGGAATATTATTTTATTTTCTATCCTACTTTATTTTGAGGATGCTTCCAAAGGAATTTCTCGATGGAAGTTTTTGATAAAAAATAAACATAAACATGACTTAAATAAAATTCAAAAACTAATTACTAGCTAGCTTAATTATCTAGTTACGGCCATGCCAACATGCGCCATTGCGCGCTCGGCTTCAAATATAGACACAAACTGTGGTTCCAATGTGGAGAGCGCACGCCGGCTAAGCAGGGAAATGCTCTTGACCTCTCCATGATCCCGCTCGAAGGCAATGTATTCAAGCCAAACACTCGGCTCTCGCTTGCCAAAATATGTGGTCATAAATTCATAGCACATGCGCCAGGCTTTAATTGTAGATAAATCCTAAAATAAACGATATATATTAAATACGTTTGATAAAGTAATGATAATGGTGTTACCTTCAGTTTGGAGCTCTGTATTAGGTTGACCATCTCGCGATGCAGCTGCAGAGACATGGGCGGCTGTTGCGCCAATTTGGCATATTCATCACGCGCTTTGGTCGGCGAATGCTCGTGCCACAGGTAGCGCAAGTAGCTGCAACGCAGATCGGCAAATTCCGGCGAGGTCTCCTTGCAGGCCTGTGTATAAATGTCATTCAGCTGCCGCTTGGCCTGATTATCATTGCGCGCCCTATAATAGGCAATGACCATGTGCCAGAGGGAAAGGCCGGCGGCGCCCATCGTTCGGCGCACCTGGCTGAACAACTTGTGAACGCTAGGTTCATCATCGTTGCGGATATGGGCGGCCAGCAGCAGCTCGTGCATGCGCAGCGATGCATCGTGCTGCAGTGCCTCGGTTAAAATGCGCACACAGGCTTCTCCGCCGTTATCGGTGCTACCCAGTATCATGCTTAACGTGGCATAATGCCTGGCATGCATCAGCTGGGAGCGGTGGCCATCTTGCAGCGCAGTCGCCAGGCACTGTTGGATGAATGCACGCTCCGATTTGTGATTCCTACTTAACGCCAGCATGGCGTCTAGATACAAGTTCCACATTTCTTGCGTCTGCAACTGCTGGACGGCCGCCTTGTAGACCGTCACGCAGAGTTCAATGCAACGCTTTTTCGATCGTGACTGAAACACTTGCACCGTGTCTGAACGCGTCTTTTTCTCAATCGGCTCAGCGTCGTCTTCGTTCTCCGCCATATTCATTAGATCACCCAAGTGAAAGCCACGCAGCTCACGTTTCGCGAGCGCATCCCACAGCGCCGGCTCACGTGAGAACTTTGTCTGTATATCATCGATTATGCGATGCTGTAGCCTGGCAGTGAGCTCCGAGTGATCCTCACAGCATTCGAGCAATTTGAGGAAGTAATCCAAATTTGTAATGTTGGACAGGCTGTTACGATAGACGGCCACAACGCGCTCCATTTGTATGTCCTGCTCTGAGACCGTGTTGTCGCCCAAATCACGTTTGTTATCCGCCATGGCGGCCTCCTTTAGCTGTATATTGAAAAAGCAGCTGTTAAGCGCTTCCGAGGCAGGATGTCGCTGTAGACCACGCAACAGTATGTCCTGTACGCGCGCAATATTGGTACGATTGTATTCGTAGAGCCACAATGCGGCATTGATCCAAATTTGTGGATCACCTCCATGGTACTGCGGGGAGAACAATTTATTTTTACCAATTCCATTTTGACTTTTTAACTATTGACAGAAACTTACCGACAGCATCTTCTCGTATATGCCAGCCACCTCTTGTGGAGCAGATTTCTTGCTGAACTTTATGCAATTTTCCCATAGAGGCTGCTCGTGGGCAAACTTGGCAAGCATCTCCCTGTACATGCGCATAATCCGAATGCAAATGGAGGCTTTTAGACCGTTTAGCTTCAAGCCGGTCAGTTTCTCCTTTTCGGTGAGTGCTTTATGCATTGTTTTCTCGTATGCAATAAATTCCAAATAGTCGGACATATTTATATGGCTTTTGGTTATATTTAAAAATAGGCGCTCGCGCTTGCGTACACATTCTCTGTAAATAAAAGATTTGCAATATAAATTAAAAATATTACAATTTATTTTAATTCGCATAATTGCTTACCTGATTTGGTCTGGGGTAAATACTTGGTAGTGCTTCATTTGCTCATACTCCGGCAGCAGCCGCTCCTGCATTTCTGCAATAAACTCGCCCATGTTGAATTACTGTATTGCCTTTAAATTAATATTTAAAGTTTTTTCTTTTTTTGCCTGTCGCGCACGTTGTTCACATGCCGTTTCCAGTCAGCTGTAGAATGTTTTGTCATCGATAGTTGTTTGCAGCCCTGTGTTAAATTCGATATTGCTATGCGATATCTGTTTTCTAGTTCGTTTTTGCAGTTTGGTCACCCAAAATACCAAACACCTTAGAAACTGGTCACTTTTTTCAAACACAAAACTTTTAATTTACAGTAAATAAATAAAGTTTCCAAAAAACACAAACGCAAATTGCAATGGCCGAATTCTCAGTCGAGCGCGTAGAGGACAAACGCACAGTTAATGGTCGCACAGAATATTATTTGAAGTGGAAGGGGTATCCACGCAGTGAAAACACTTGGGAGCCGGTTGAAAATCTCGATTGTCCGGATTTAATAGCAACTTTTGAAGAATCATTAAAAAATAATAAAAAAGAGACAAAAAAACGCCTTTCCACATCGTCAACACCAGATTCAATACGAAGTAAGCGAAAATCGTTCATGGAGGAAGATACCGACGAACAAAAGAAGTTGATTGGCTTTGATCGCGGCTTGGAGCCTTCAAAGATTCTTGGTGCGACCGACTCATCCGGATACCTAATGTTTCTGATGAAGTGGAAGGGTAGCGATCACGCCGATCTGGTGCCCGCCAAGCTGGCGAACGTCAAATGTCCACAAGTCGTTATACAATTTTACGAGGAACGTCTAACCTGGCACACTGGCAATGGCAATGGTAACGGCTCCGGTAGCGGATGTGGCAGTGCACACGCCGCTGGAAGCGTTAGTACACCTGGAAGCACCGCTGACGCTAGTCCGAGCGGCAGCATCAACGATGAAAATATAAAACCCGACGCTGGCGCCGAATTAGGGAACGGAGACGCTGTCTAGTTCATTTCACAGAACTCGTTAAGCCAGCAAAAACAATGCCATGCAAAGCTGCACGGATACACACAGATACACACACACACACAGGCACATGCTCGCTCCTACATTTTTACATACAAATAACATAGACATAATCATACATACATACATAGATATACATACAGGCATGTTCTTTATTGCGCCAACAAAAACAAAACAAAAAAAAATTGAGCGTATTTCTAAAATAAAGTAAGCATACATTTTAATATGTATAACTAAAATAGCAATGTTTCTTTATCTTAAGCCAAGTTTGCGTAGACTACCTTTTTACGAACATACAGTAAATACGATCTGGCAACGCCAATCGTCAAGTGCGGGCAATCGATGTATTCGATAAGTTGCGCTGCCAAGCCGGCAAACTAGAAATAAAGATACTACAAAGGCAAATGTTGTGAGTTTAAATAAAAATTAAATAAATAATGGCTCAATCAAGCTCTATGAAGCTGCTTGGCGCACGCAACATGAGTTGCATTGTGGAGCGCATGGAGTGGAACAACAAAATGGATCTTATTGCTTATGGCACCGAGAAAGGTAGGTAGCATCCAGCTGTTTTTTTCCTTCCATCCTTGATCCAACCATGAGCATGGAATTGTTTCTGTAGGTGAGGTAATCATACAGCGCCTGAACTGGCAGAAAATCGTCACCTTCCCGACGCCCGGTGAAGATGTGCGAGTACGTTCACTGAGCTGGCAAATGGACGAGACACTGTTAGCGGTCGGTTATAGCAATGGAAAGGTGGCGCTACTGGATGCCGAAAGCGAAACCATAATATCGGGCCTAATCTACGATGATGACATCAAGAAGGTTTACTTCAGTAAGGCGATCAACAGAAAGGAGAGCCTCGACAGCTACACATGCAGTGCAAAGGACAAGCACAGACGGTATTTACCGAAACTGCCTCCACTGACCAATATCGATCCGTGCCTGAAGACGCTCGATCAGAAGTCATTTCCCAAGGGTTCACCCTGTTTTTTGGTAGTTATCATGCGCAGCGGTAAAGTGCATTTACTGCTCCTTGGCGCCCTGCAGGCGGGCAGCATTGATCTCACACAGCATGTACTAAATCCGGATCAATTCGATGTGTACGATGTGCGTCTCAATGGAGACTTTAATGCCATTTATGCACTTCTTCGTGATGGCCAACAGCTAAAGCTGTTGCATTTTCATAATCAGGTTCTGCAGGATTCCATATCACCCATGCTGGAGCTGGCTTCCCACTGTGCCCACATACTTGAGACCAAAAAGTGAGTTCCTCTCGGCATTGACTATTATCGCAACTAATTTCTCCATCCATTAATATATAGTTACATCAATGACACACAACAGTGCCTAACGGAAGCATGGGAGACGGTGCAACTGGAAATGGACAACAAGCTGACCAAGTATGCCAATTCGCAGGCATATGGCATGATATCTGCACACTTTCTGGAGCTGCTCGTATTCGGTTACGCCACTCTGGAGGTCGAGGAGTTTCTGTTCGAGTGAGTTAAGTCCCTACACTCAGTATACAGTGCTCATGGGCCCCGCCGCTTTGTTCTTCTCTTTCCACAATACCACAGAACGTTGACGGAGAAGGGCTTCAAGAAGATAGCCAACTCAGTGGATCTGAGCCTCAACAATTTGCAGGGCCTGGTCTTCAAGCAACTAAACGGAGCCGCCATTAACATGTTTTACTTCCTCAATACAATTGCGGGCTTTGGACGCATGACGCATTTCTTTGAGGTTTGTCCTGTTTGAAACGAAGAAGTTTATCCCAATTAAAAATAATGTTCCATTTTAGGCACTCATCTCGCCGGATGTGGCCAGCGAGGCGATGCGCGCTTGCGGCTCCTATTTGCTGAAAGTGCATGAGCTGCAGCGCACGATTGACACGCTGGTGTATGACATGAAGCTGTTTCACTCCTGGATCATATTCACTATACTGCGTCTGTCCCATCAAGAGATACCCGATGATATGGTCTTTACCGGAAAGGAGAATGTTGCCCTGGCTGAATTCTTTTGCGCCATGGAGCCAGACATCCAGGAACCATGTGAGGGCGATGATGTCATTGAGGAGAAATCAGCAACGGCGTCTGGAATAGCAGGAGAGTATTCGTCTGGTGATGCCAGTCCAAGTCCGACGCTGACACCGCGCAGTAAATTCAATTTGGAGCGCGTTGGTCAATATCTGGAGAATTCATATTTAACCCAGCTGCATACAGTGAACCCAGACGAACTCTGGCCACGCCTGCTCGCCGAAAACGAATGCCTTGCGCAGTGCAACCTGTTTGTGCCTCATGACAAGAAATTGTCCCTGATACAGCAGCGCGACAAAATGTTCAACGCCATTGACGCAGTGTTCCATAAGCCCACGGAAAGCATTAGTGGCAGCTTCAAACTGAGCACAGCTGTGATATGCGGTGATTTGCAACCGATTCCCCCCGAATCTGCCGCTGACCCGGAACAGCAATCCAATTATGATTATGTGACTTGCAGCTACCATGTGCACGAGGCGACTAAATGTGATATGCTGGCATTGACACTCAGCCTACAAGAAGCCATGGTGCTGGAATTCAGTCGCGGCGACGATTACTTGTTGCGCTGCACGCGCGTTCAGCTGCAGCCTGGCCCGTTCACGCCTCAGCTGCAGGAGGACTACTACAATCTGCGCTTTGTCGATCTCCAATTCTACAACGAATCCTCGATATCCATGCTGGCACAGACGTCAACGCCTGCGACCGGTGTACGTCCACACAGCTACTTTGTTCAGTTCTCGTTGAGCGCATCGCGCAATCACTGCACACAGCATCAGTTGGCACCCCTCATGAAGTTACCCGAGGCGACGGTGACGCACAGCGTGCACGATATACCGGATGCGGCCACATTTAAAGGCCTCGACGGTGTCTGTGAAATGTTGGCCGTCTCCGGTAGTCGTAAGGTGGCAACCGTTCTATCTGATCGCCGGCGCAAGATGACCATATTCGAAATGGAGATAGAGGAGGAGGAGGACGATACGGAAATGTCCCAAGCGTCGTTCTTAGAGATCAGCAAAGAGTCTGTGCTGGCTACCGGTTCCAACGAAGCGGATAAAGCGGAGACGTAGTATTAACCGGCCAGTGAATGATTAGGCAAAACGGAATAGATACGACTCGTTTCAATCGTTAAATCAATCGCTCTAAGTTAATACCAATTTTCCAACAGTGAAATTGCATTAGATTCTCATTACTTTTCATTACTTTTCGCTTCATTTGTTTTTCTTGTTACTTCACTTTAATTAGCAAAGAAATATTTTAGTATATTATAATTATAAAATACATGTATGTACAAAATTCAAAACAAGCGGTTCACGTACCACGTGTTGAGTCTAAATTAAACTTTATGCAACAAAATGCTGAAACATTTAACTTTGAGCCCACGAAAATGTAAGTTAACTAATCACTAATGCCCAAAACAGACAACCAACCAGTTCCCCCCAAAAAGACAAAAAAACAAAAATTAGGCAATCGTTTCGAGTGAGAGAAAACTAGTGCTTAATTGTTACAATTTGGATCCAAAAAATCAAAATATAAAAATCTGTAGCCATTCATAACAATTTCACTTGGCTCAAACATGTGTTTAGCTAGAAAATAGTTAACCTGATCTTGGCATAATAGTTTAAATATAATGCATACACCCAGCATGTCTGAAACTAGCTATCTATCCCGCTCGCACATCATCTTCTTGCTCTTACAAAAGTGAAGATACATTTTGGTTTTTGGCTGAGATATGAATTTCAATTGTTGGCCAAGTGTCGAATGGGCTTTTGGGAGCAACCGAACTAACTGATTTCGTACTGATATGCATCATCAGAATCCTCGTCGCTGGAAATGTCGCGCTTGCGTCTCCGCTGCTCGCGTTTGCTCAGCTTTTTGGCTGGCTGTAGAGGTGCAGCCGCAGCAATTGCTGTTGTCGCCTCCGGCTCATCTTTCTCCTCGGGCACTGCAGCCTCCTCATCAATAGTGGACGGCTCAGCCTCTTCCTCCTCGGCTTTCTTCTGTGTCTTGACCAGTTCGCATAAGTATTTGTAGCGCACCAAGCACTCTTCCTTGGTCTTTTCTGGCACACTGTTGGCAATCTTTTGCCAACGATCGCCGCCGGTGGTTTTCCTATATTTAACGATGGCCGCCTCCAGAGCGCGCTGCTGTTCCTGGGACCAGTTAGTCTCTGGTATAAGCATGCTCTTCTCATTGACAGTTGGTGTGCCCTTTTTAACCTTTTCCTTGCGCACCGCCTCCTGTGAATCCTGGACTATGTTCTCGGCAACGCTATCCGTTTGTCCTGGTATACGATAGCCGTTCTCCTTCATTTTGGCCGCCATGAATGTCACCTCTTGGACGGTGCGATTCATGGACTCGGCTATGGTATTCCAGCGACTGCCCGCACCGCCTGGATATTTCTTTACAAGTCTAATAAGTTCCGTCAGATCCTCATCTGTCCAAAAGCCGCCGCTAACCGTAGTCTTAAAACGCAGTTGGAAAAAAACAAAACATTTAAGTATAACGATAGCCACTCGCCACTGCCACTCACCTTTTGGGAAACTGGACGTATTGCGTCATCTTCGGTTAGCTCACGCGCCTGGATTTGTGAATAACCGCGTAACTCCTCCTCGGTCTTCTCAGGGGCCCTTGTGTTCTGCTTGCGCTTGCGCAGATTCTCTTTCTGCTCCTTACGCAGACGCGCCTGCTCTTCAGCCTCACGTTCTAGTTCCTCCTGGCGACGTGCCGCTTCGATCTCCCTGAAATTATTATTGTGAATTCAGTTGCATGAGCTCAGTCCTTTTACTTACTGTCTGCGCTTTTCCAATGCCAACTGCTTCAGTTCGTTGGCTTTGCTGAATGCATTTTTTATTGTCTTCGGCAGATTCCAGATGGCTACTGGTATTTGAATTGGCAGCGTATTGAGTAGTGATGGCATTGGGATCTCGTTTAAAATGACATCCATGTCGATGTTTTTGTTGCGCTTCTGCAGCTTTTTAAGCTTGCTGCCGAATACCTGCTCGGCTGTGTACTTCTTTTCCAAGTAAGCTGCCCAGGCAAACATATACTGGCCAACGGTGATGATCAGGAATATAATAAAGGCACCCTCGTATAGACCAATCTTACGCATCCTGCGGTAATAATAGAGAGCGGACTTCCAGTTGGGCATACCGTCGCGCAGCACCTTGTCGTATTTTTCGCGCTTGGATCCATCCTTGAGCACCTCGTAGATGGAGACAAGATTGCGAAACTGGATATTGGCATCCTCGGCCGGATTCTTGTCCGGATGCAGCACAATTGAAAGGGTGCGAAAGGCGCGCTTTATTTCATTATTCGTGGCAGTCTGATTGATACCCATAAACTCGTAGAAGTTCTTGTTGACCTCTTCGATGAGATCGAAAATCTCCAGCTCCTCGGAGTGCCAGGCGCTTGCTGAACCGCATAATAGCAATAGGCCAAATAGTAATGCCGAAAGTGTTGTTCTGGTGTGCAGCTCCATTTAAAATCTTTAAAAATCAACTAAAACCGAAAAGCGGCGGACCCCTGCACGCTTACACATACACATGCACACAGGCATTCGCGAACGCACTCGCGACGAGCTGTCAACGTCAAAAGTGGCAACGTCAGCAGTAAACAAAAACAATACTTGCTAACGTTGCCATATCGCCCGACACCAGGGTGGCAAGCTAAGCAAATAGTTTTAAATTTGTGACGAAAAAGATGTGCATTGTTTACGATTTTAGGCGAGTTTTGGCTGATTTGAAGCATACGCATAAGTATTATAAGTTTATCATATGGCAAAAATTTGAATAAAATCAAAACTATCGATAAATGCGCCTGCAGCTCTGCAGCACAGCACAGGCCTGTTAAGTGCTAGCGATATATCGCATAGAAAACATAGCTAATAGCAGCCACACACAACCTAGCGCTATAGGATTTGCAAAAGACGAAAACAGTGAAAGCGGTGTGAAAAAGCAGGCGAACAGAGATAAGAAACAAAATACAAAAGTCAACGCAAGCAGCAGCGGCACAGCGTCAACTCAGCGCTAGCCGCTGGGGCTCTTTTTAAATGGATTAAGCGTTGCTCACACAACCAGATAACAATACACCAGGGGGAAGCGAAGCGAGAGCGCGGGCCGGACTGGAGCAGAGCAGAACGGAGCCATGTCTTCGGCCGTCAATATACAAATCGTATCGATGCCGAATCTGGCGAAGATCGAGAGCTTTTTCAAGGATGTCAGCTATCGCGAGACGATCGAATATAGCGCCAATTTCAACACACGCCTCTGCATCGAACGGCGACTGCGGCTGCCATTTCTCGATCCACAGACAGGCGTTGCACAGAATCACTCCCAGCTGTTCATGGATAAGCGACAACGAATGCCTGGCTTTCGCCAAGGCCAAATCTACACGTATCCCGCGGCTCGTTGGCGCAAAAGTCGGCGCCAGTACTTGACTAAGATGTACAGGTGAGTTTCTCAGTGACTTCCATGCTAATATCGTACCTAAATCTAACCTCTACACACAGTCGATTTCCCGAGCGCCCTTTTCAGGCGCTGCGCAAAGAGCACGAGGCGTTGGTGGCCAGTGGCATTAATATTGGCGGCACTGGTGTTAGCGGTACCGCTAGCATAGCCAGCACCAACAGCAGCAGCTCAACGTTAAGCCTCAACATGCTGACGGGCGCGGGCGCATCGACAACGCCAACAGTGCTGAGTACGCTACACAACGATACGACGCATGATTTTAACGGGGCGTTCAGCATGGAGGAGTCTTGTTCGCTGGGCGCCGCCGGCGGCGACACATCCGACAGCAAAGACAGTCAATTGCAAACACAGCAGCAGCAGCAACAATCAAAAGATGATCTGCCCAAGGAGTGGTTCTACGATGATATGATGGACATGAACGATGTGGACTCGCTCGAGGAGCCAAAATCTCCGGCTGACGATGAATACGACTATGATCCGCGATATGGTAACAAAAAGCGGCGTAAACGTCGACCGGGAAAGCGTACAACGATACACGCCAGCAGCGAAACTGTCAGCACCAGCAATAGTAGCAGCGCGCGCCGACGCAGCGCTGTGATGCGGACGCGTGTTACCACGACAGATGCGGCGCTGGATGCGTCACTTGAAGCAATAGAGGCGGGCGACATTGGCGGCACACCGACTTCGAGCGGTGGGCGCAGATCTCGTGGCGCTGGCACACGGGGCAGGCGACGTGCCAAAGGCGCCACATCTGGCAGCACCACAGCTAGCGCCAGTGGCATGCCCAGCAATACATGTGATCCGCCCAGTCCGGGCCTGGTTAATGAGCCACCATCGTTTGAAAGTGCCGCCGCCGCTGTTGGCGTTGGTGTCGGCGTTGGCGTCGAGGATGGCAATGCGCATTTGCGCAATTATCGCAAGTATCTGTAACGCTAGGATCAACCCATGTAGGTGGCATTTTGCATGGACCACATTCATCCACTACCTAACTACCTATCAGTCTATCTACTTATTTGTTTATTGCATTCGTTTCCTAAACGGTGATTACTATTTTTCAACATATGTAATTTAAAGTTAGTTTAAGGCTTAGTTTATTAGTTCCTTATTCGAGTCCAGCACCTGACCAGACCAGACTAACCAGGACAAAACCACCAAAACACATCCGAGCAGGCGTAGCTAAATTTTTATTCTACTGGTAACTCTGTCGCCTATCTAATTGTACGTTCCCATAGCCAATTGATTGTTGATAATCTAACGTATATATAGCCTATATACACGTAAATATATAATATACATAAGTATATTTATGTATTTATATATATACATATAAAGCAACTTTACTTAAACAAAAATGAACGCGGCCAAATCAATCGCAATCCACAAACGGTTTTTGTTGCCGCCATATTCAACTTATTTTCAATCTTGATTTGTTCTTTTGTTTTGTTTTTTTTTTTCTCTTTATTTTAATTTAAATATTAAGTTCAAATTCATTGGCGTAATGTATTCTTAGGCAGTGTGGTAGGGTTTAGGGTTTCAGTCCAGTCCAGCGCAAAGAAAAAAAGAAAAACGATTTCGTAAACCAAAATTTTTCTATAGGAATAAATAGTACATTTCTTAAGGAAGAGAGCTGAATAACAAAAAAAAAAAAGAAAAACTGTGTACATTTTGAAAATCAAAGACAAAAATTCTAATAAAATTAAAAAGAAAGAAAACAAAAACATAATTTTACACACCTTTGGAAGGCTTTTATACAAATTTTTGAAGTTATTTAGATCTGGACTATACATGTTTATTGTATGTACATATACAGTGTACTACATTACACTAACAACCAAAACTTGGCTGAAAAAAAGAAAAATTAAAATTTGTATGAAAAAAAAAATACAAATAATATTTATGTATATAAAACTCGTAATTATAAAGCAATTTTCAACCGATCTCTATATTGTTTTGTCTATTCGAATCCAACATACAAACACTATCTGAGAAACTTAAGTATACAAATTTTCATAATTTGGGAACACAATATATTTTTATGTATAAACATTGAAATCTTTTAAAGCGCTATATTTAATAGAACTTTATGCGACAACAAAATCAACAATTAATGATAATTTCCTTTATTTATCGTAACGTGAAGAAGAGCGATTGCTGTAGCAGATGACGTCAGAAATTCTTCAGCGTTCAGGCAAAAGTTTCACAGTGAACGACTCCCGTTAGGGGTTTACCGTTTAATGATCATATGGCGCTATTGCTGAAAAAATATCGACGTCAACTAAATGTATTGGTGCTCACAGATTTCCTGATTTGCTGGCTTTGGAATTAGAAGCCGCGTCAGCGTTTGCAGCCTTGCTGCGTTTTGGCAGTGTGGACGTGGATGTTGGTGATGGCGATGAGGACTGCGATTCGCGCTTGCGTTTGTTTTGCTTTCTTTCGTTGAATGCCTGCACTATTTGCTGATACATTTCATCGACATCGGGGAACTTTTGGGCGCGCGGGGTTCGTTTTAGGCCGGACCAAATCGGACGCTGCTCATTGGCAATTGTAGTGGGATGGGGGGCGAAGGACAACTCAAATGCGCCGCGTCTTGGAGCTCCTTGGGCATTCAGCTGCAATTGGAGCTGGAATGGCTGACCTGCATCTTGAATTTTGCTTAGCAGTGCTGAATGTAGCTCCTCGGCGCGACGACGAAAGACTCGTCACGAGCGGCAATGCTCGATGTAAAGCACCGGATTAGTCGGGTCCAGCGCTTTGGTTTCCTCGCTTTTTGGCGGCGACTGCATGAAAATATATACTTATTTATTCATTCAAGTTATCGACAAATTTGTTTAAACTTACGCGTTTAGGGGCAGCCTTTTTAGCACGCTTTGGCGGCATTTTTACTTCTAATATAGAAACTCTCTTTTAAAGAAAATGCGCGCTGAAATTCTTTGCAGAGTGATTTTGTAAACTTGTATCGATATATTAGTGCTTACCAACAATATGATGGTAGTACTATTGTGAATTAACTGAAAAAATGTATGGCCACACATTTCTAGCTCAAAATGCACAAGTGTATGACTATCGATAATTTATTTACCCAGCTAATCAAATTAAATGTTTGTAGCTCAACATCTGGCAACGCTTGACTTATATACTTGGCCCTTATATATGATATATATTATTGAATTAAACAGTTAATATTGGTGCAAGTGTTTAAACAAATGCAAAAGAAAAAGAAAAAACGATCTGAAACTGAGGCCTGTCAGTAGGATAATTATAAGTTTATAGGTATTATTGTTGCAATCCATGTAAAATAGAATAGTATAGAATACCACTGTTGTAATTTATAATTTTCACAATTTTAGGCTATTATTGAAATTGTGTGCCGGCAAAATCAAAGTGCTTGCACGTTGATTTTGGCGCCAACTGAATTCAATGGACGAGGTTACGCCAAACGAAAATGCGAAACCCCCGGCTCAATCACCGACGCCGCGTAAACGTCTCGGTCGGCCCCCGAAGGCCCACCCAAAACCGATTGACAAAAATGTGGTAGCCGAGGCAACAGCTGAGGATATGGAGACGACGGAGACCTCGGCGGAACGTGTGCTTACAGTATCGCCTACATTGAGCAGCGAGTGCCGACGCAGCTCCCGCAAAAAAATCATTAAATTCGATGTGCGCGATCTGCTCAATAAAAACCGAAAGACACACAAAATACAAATTGAAGCGCGCATTAATTCTAAAGCACCGCCAACTGCAAATGATGCAACAACACCAAGCACACGTTCACTTGCCACTCTTGATGGCGGTCCTGCAGAATCTACAGCCACAGCAGCTCGTCAATTGCCATCGGGACCGCCGCCGCCGCTGGTTGAAATCTTTGCCAAGCCAAAACTGACAAAGAACCTGAATATTGCCCAAGTGAACAGCGAGGAGACGTGCTTGGCTGGTCAGCAAAAGCAAAATGAACCACCACAAGCTGGGGCAATGCTGGTCCAACGCAAACGTGGACGCCCGCGCAAGGCACAGCCCGCGCAGGTGATAAGAGATGTATGCGCGATCCCTGCTGAAATTACACGCAGCATCAGCTACTCGGACTCGGATACTAATTCAGCCAACTCCACTGCCACTGGGGAGAGCGACGCCTGCTGTGAAAATAAACTAAAACCCAAATTCAAATCCAAGTTGCGCGTGTCCCTAAAGCGCATGAACATGCCCATAAGTCGGGATTCCTTTGACTCGGGTGAGTCGTTAAAGGGCCCCTCACTGCCATTTAACCTATTGGAGCTGTCCACATCTTCATCAGAGGTACCTGCATTGCATGCAATTGATGAAGTGAATGAGCCAAAGCCGTCGGTCAATACCAAAATGCCGGCGGAAACAAAAGTAAATATTAAGACTGATACAATAACAATGCTGCCAGGAGATGAAGAAGATTCTGCTCCACAAATAATATTTGAGGAAGTAGAAACGGCCAAGCCGGAAAAGGATAATGAAATGAAGGCACGTGTAGAGCTGCCTACTGAGGAGAGTAGCAATAATTTCAAGCTGCTTTTCCCCAAAAAAGAAGAACAGCAGCCGGAGCAGAAGACAGAGACTGAGTCGGACTCAACGCCGAGTCTCTGCTCTGCCAAGGATGTGGATAAGCAACAGTTGGATCCTGAATCGCTGAATCGAATAAGTAGCTTAGGAGAGCAGATCGCAGAAAAGCAAAACATCGAAGCCAACTGTGAAGTGTCACCACCACCTACAAGCAAGCGGCGCAGCAAGCGTTCCAGTCTACGTGGCAGCGCACTCAGTGCAAACGGCAGCAAGATGACGCTGGAGGAAACATTTGCCGAAATCGCAGCAGTTAGCTCCAAGCGAATCTTACAGAGTGAAGCAGTCGAAGAGCCGCAGCAGCAGCAGTTGCAGCTGCAGCTAGATGCACCCATTGATCTCGTCGGAAACTGTAGCAATATTTGCAACAGCAGCAATAGCAATAGCAACCTTTTCGAATTGTCGCCACAATTGGAGGCCAACTTGGAAACTAATTGTAAATTTGAAACACAAAAACGAGTGTCTAACACTTCTTTCCAATCGGAGACCAACACCGTCCAATTGGAATGTGCTGCCTCAGAGCAGCTGGAGTCGTTGAAAGTAACTGCAGCGGAGGCAGCTAAAGTTCCAACTGAGCTGCCTGCGCAGGCGATTGATGATAAGATGATTGCAACTGTAGAGCAGCAGCCCTCGCCAGATCAGTCTGCCGCTGAAGCAAAGGAAACTCTTACGCCACTTTCTTCCCTTTCCAATCCGATTCTGCCAGCAGCAGCAACTGCCATAGAGCTATTATCAAATCCATCAGAAGCTTTACTCAAACTGGAGCCGCCCACACGCAAAGCGGAACTGCCTTTAGAGCAGCAAATGCCAAGCGGTAGTCCCACTCCCACAGCCAATAGCAATGTCGCAGGCAAAGCCAAGCAGGAAAAGGTGAGTGCCAGCCAGGTGCCTCCTGTGTCCATTGTCGAGTGCGATGCGCTGTTCAAAGCCATGGACAAGGCCAGAGCCCAGGTGCGTCATGATGAGAAAACTAAAAAGAAGCTCAAGCTGTGTGCCAAGAAGCATGCAGCTAAGCTGGAACTGCAGCCGGAGGGGCACAGCAACAGCAATTCACCTACTGTGTCGTTGACCAACGCCAAGAAGCAGCGCCTCAAGAAGAATACACGTCGCAATACCATTTGCGAGTATCCCGCCGAGCAGTCCCCAGCGCTTTTAACCAAGCGACGTAACTCGCAGCATCCGCAGAAGACATCCCAGAGTCCCGAAAGCCCAACGCAGGCGGAGCCATACCCCAAAGCGAAGCTTAAAAAAATGTTACGCAAACGCTTGTCCAGCAGCCTGATTCGTCAGAATTCAGTGGACTCCAGTTCGAGCGCCTCGCAGTGTGCCTTCAGGCGCAAATCGAGCAAAGTCAGCGATGCATTGCAATTGGCGCTAACTGAAACTGAATCTACCGAGTCCACCAGTTCCGCCAGTAAAGTGCCCAGCTGCGGCATACCAACGCCCATATCGGAGCTCGAGACGCCCGATCCGTTAAACGACATTGCCCAGCTCATAGAGAATGGTGTTAAGCTGCTGGAACACAAACTGGAGGATGCGCAGCAGGAGCAGCAGCAGCAACAGCAGTTGATAACAAATGTGCTGCCCGATGATGATTTTGCGCAGCGAGTGGCCAACATGGAAACACCCGCGACGACGCCCTCATCCTCGCCACAGCCCAGCAGCGGCACCAGCTGTAACGAGGATGCAACCCCAACTGTTGGCAGTGGAGCTGTACGACGCTCACATCGCATCAAACAGAAGCCGCAGCTGCCCAAGGCGAGCGTTGGCCGTGGCGTCAGCAGCAGCAGCCAGACATCCTCCTCCATCAGCATGGAGGAGCAGCTGACCGAGCTGGCGCACATCGATGCCATCAATGAGCAGTTCCTGCGCCAGGAGGGCCTCAATGTCTTTCAGCTGTTGCGTGACAATTATTACCGTTGCGCTCGTCAGGTCAGCCAGGAGAATGCTGAAATGCAATGCGATTGCTTCCTCACCGGCGACGAGGAGGCCATGGGTCATCTATGCTGCGGCGCCGGCTGCATCAATCGCATGCTAATGATTGAGTGCGGCCCACTGTGCACTAATGGTGAACGCTGCACAAACAAACGCTTCCAGCTGCACCAGTGCTGGCCTTGCCGCGTCTTCCGCACCGAGAAGAAGGGATGCGGCATTACGGCCGAACTGCAGATACCACCGGGTGAATTCATTATGGAATATGTGGGCGAGGTCATTGACAGCGAGGAGTTCGAGCGCCGTCAGCACCTATATTCGCGTGATCGCAATCGCCACTATTACTTCATGGCGCTGCGGGGCGAGGCGATCATCGATGCGACCGCCAAGGGCAACATTTCGCGTTACATCAACCACAGCTGTGATCCGAATGCGGAGACACAAAAGTGGACGGTGAACGGCGAGTTGCGCATTGGTTTCTTTAGCGTTAAGACGATCATGCCCGGCGAGGAGATCACCTTTGACTATCAGTATCAGCGATATGGACGGGATGCTCAGCGTTGCTATTGCGAGGCGACCAACTGTCGCGGCTGGATTGGCGGTGAGCCGGACTCGGATGAGGGTGAACAGCTGGATGCGGAGAGCGACAGTGAGGCGGACAACCTGGCCGAGGAGCCGGACGAACTGGAGTCGGGACAGGGCCCGGAAACAGATAAGAAGGCATACAAAACCAAATCAGCCAAGAGCAGCAAACTGAAGCCGAGCAAACCATTGAAGGTGTCGACAGCAGCGCGCAAGATGCGCAAGGAACTACCAAAAGCTAAGGATCGCGAATACAAGGCCGGACGTTGGCTACGGCCATCCGGCGGCGGCATTGGTGACAAGTCTGCCGCACGTAAGCTCGAAAAGCTTGAGGATCCGGATGTGCTCGAGCAGCTGCTGTTGCTCAATCGCAGCGGCCTCAAGAATCAAGTGGACACGCTGCGCTTCTCCCGTTGCATGGTGCGCGCCAAGCTGCTGCAGACACGCCTTCAGCTGCTGGGCGTGCTGACGCGCGGCGAGCTGCCCTGCCGCCGGCTCTTCCTCGACTACCATGGCCTCCGGCTGCTGCACGCTTGGATCAGTGAGAGCGGCAACGATAATCAGCTGCGGTTGGCTCTGCTCGACGCTCTCGAATCACTTCCCATACCAAATAGGACGATGCTGAACGATAGTCGTGTCTATCAGAGCGTCCAGCTCTGGAGCACCAGCATGCCAGATGAGCAGCCGAAAGAACCACAACAACAACCATCCCAGTCGAAGCACGAGCTGGAAGCAGTGCGTCAGCGTATGGTGGCGCTGCTACAGAAATGGAATGCCCTGCCCGAAATCTTTCGCATACCCAAACGGGAACGCATCGAACAAATGAAGGAGCACGAACGAGAGGCGGATCGTCAACAGCAGCCGCATTACACGGCCACCGCACTGGAGGATAGCAACAGCAACAGCGCCTCCTCAGTGCTAAACAGCGATCGCTACAGACAGGATCGCTTCAGGCGCGCCACCATCAATCGCTACGAGAAGCCCAAGCAGCCAACACGGATGAGCGGCAACAATACCATCTGCAGCATTCCCACACAGCCCAAGGAGCGCAGTGGCAACGCAGAAGGTGGCGGCGGGAGCAGTGGGAGCGGTACTGGCAATGCCAACAGCAGTTTCTTCAATGGCATCAGTAAATCTGATCCACGGAGGCGATCCGAACCGGTGGGAGCCAGCGATTATGACACACGCCGCACCATATTCAAGAAGCTGCGACGTTCCCTATTCGAGCGAAAGGTATGCAAGCACGTACAAAGTGACACTCTGTTCACTGTGTTCCGATTAAATCTGTTCAAAAGGGTTAATTAATTATTTACATTATTTTCCTCGACAGGTGGCCCAAGACGAGGCGGAGAAGCGCGTTTGCAGCGTGGATTGGCGGGAGCACGAGCTGCGCTGTGAATACTTTGGCGCTGATCTGAAAACCGATCCCAAGCAGCTGCCCTTCTATCAGAATACGGAGACCAACGAGTGGTTCAACAGTGATGATGCACCGGTGAAAGCGCCGCCACGCTGCGGCAATGGCAACTCTAGCGGTGCTTCCAGTGAGCCACACTCGCCGGAGAGCAGCGGCGATAGTCTGGAGTATAGGTTGCCCGGCTGCGTAGAGCCGTTGCCGCCTTCCTGGCACTGGAGTGTAACTGCCGACGGTGATATCTATTATTATAATCTGCGGGATCGCATCTCACAGTGGGAGCCACCAAATGCACAGCAGCGCCTGCAACAGTTGATCGACGATTCACCAGTGCCGGAGCGAACAACCGAAGCGGAGCACATTGCCGACGAGCTGGTGAAGATTGATGTTGACTATGTAGGCAGCCTCAGTAACAAATCGCTGGCGCAGTACATTGAGGCGAAGGTGCGCGAGCGACGCGAATTGCGACGCAATCGTCTTGTTTCGGTCTGTGTGATCAGTCCCCGACGCGAGGAGGATCGAATCTACAATCAGCTGGAGGCGCGCAGGTACAAGGAGAACAAGGAGAAAATTCGCCGCCGCAAGGAGCTCTTTCGCTGCACCCAAAACGAGACGAACAATACGGATCCATTGGCGGGCAAATCCAGTGACATGCTGCCCATTCAGGGCTATTTGTACTCTTCCGATGAGGACGTTGACGTGGATGCCGCTAACTTAGCGCCCGGCTGTGCTGCTCTGCCGTTGCTCGATGTCATTGTCGATGGCGTCAAGGATACGCATGTGGACGAGCTGGAGGCACTGAATCGCAGCCGAAACAACAACAACATTGCCAAAATAAGCACGAGTCACGTGGAGCCAAGCACCAGCAAATCGGCGCTAGCTGCGCTCGGCATTCAGCTGCAATCAATGCCGCTGTCCATGTTGAGTGAGTTAGAAGGCGATGGCCTGGTTAAACCAAAGCGCAAACTGCCCATGCCACCACAACTACCCGAGAGCCAGAAGAAGCATCGTGGTGAGCGTGAAAAGAAGCGTAAAACGTAAGCGTACAACTTCTGCAAATGCAAATCCCATCGAATACAAGCATTCACTCAAATCCCTTTTAGGCCACTAAGCAGCACTTCCAGCGGACGTGAGGCGTGTGAAAAGTTTCGCTTTGAGATAAGCGGCCATGTGGCCGAGTTCTTGCGTCCGTACCGCAAAGATACCTGCCATCTAGGTCGCATCACCAACGATGCAGACTACAAGTTTCTAATAAAACGGGTAAGTGCCTATGAACCCATTATTAAATTGGTTAATAAGGGTTTTGTGTAAATGTATGTAACAAGCACAAAGCGTAATCTCCGATCCCATAAAATATATATATCTTTTTGCTAAGCATTAACAGCAGAGTCGATATAGCAATATCCGTCTAGCTGTCTGTCTGTCCGTATGTATGACAGTCCGTACCCGATCCAAACTATACCAGTTTTTTGGATACCCTCTAAAGTTTCCCCCAAAATTGTAATTGGGCTTTGCTATTCACACACATTGGGATGACATATTTGTGCTCTAAAAATTGCATCAATATTGAGGATTTCTTATGGTATGCTGCAGCTCGGCGCTGAGTCCACGATATCTTCTAATCGGGCACTCACAACTGACGGACTCTTACTTGTTGTGTGACTGTAAATTCTACAGCATTAGTGACCTATGCTAGCCAATAATTAAGGAGATAATAACACATGTTTTGTGGGTCTTATAAATATGAGAGTATATTACATATAATTTTCTTAACACTTTTGTAATGTTCTTCTATAGCTGAGCCACCATATAACGACCAAAGAGATGCGTTACTGCGACTTGATTGGAAATCCATTAGCCTGCACAGAGTCGGTTAAGCACAAGTCCTTTGAATTCATCAACCAATACATGCGAAAGAAGGGGCGCGTGTATAGGAAGCCAGCCGATGAACCCGACTACTAAACAACAGTATCAGCCGTACTCAGGCACGCACACCATGGTATCAAGCCAATGTTTAGCAAATGAATCAGATATTTTTCATAGTTGTGTTTTTATTTATGTTTTTTTTTATTAATATTATACCCAGTGTATGGGTATAAACTAAGTTTTTCATTCTCATTTTATCAGTTTATTCGTGGCGATTTGACAAAAACAAAAGATTGGTAACAACAAAAGAAAACACCTAAGTAAACGAGTTTCCTCGTTGCTCAAAATGCAGTTATGCATGAAATAAAAACATCTATTTTTAAATTCAGCGTGTTTTTAAATTGCAATTATTAATCATGTTAGTAAAGAGTCTCAAATCCGTTTTCTCTTACGAGTTTCTTTCATGTAGGTCTCCGTTACTTTTCCATATTAAAGTATGGCAGCGCTGGTGGTGCTGCCATATCCGCAATGCATTGCGCCAAACTGATTTCTTCCTTTTTGCTCAACAGGAACTGCTCAACAATGCAACCAAAATATGAGTAATACTCTAAAATTGAAGTCTGAAACTAATACATTTTTTATTCAATGAATAATTTAAAGCAGTGCACAGAAGCGGTACACACATGACTATTGTGTGTGGGTGTGTCATTGGGTAAAAGGATGTTCATCTATTGTTGGGCGGACTGCTGTACTTCAGTGGCATTAGCTGCTGGTGTGCGATTGGCCTCCTCGGGTTTCATGGCAGGGAACAGCAGCACCTCCTACAAATAAACACAGAATTATTGTCAAGTGAAACAAAGCAAATTGGTTTACTAGTTTTGTTTTTAGCACAAACCTTAATGTTGTTGGAGTCGGTTAGGAACATGGTCAGTCGATCAATGCCCATGCCCCAGCCACCAGTTGGTGGCAGACCGTACTCTAGCGCCGTGCAGAAGTTCTCATCCACCATTTGAGCCTCGTCATCGCCTGCGGCCTTATCGTTAGCCTGCTGTTCGAATCGTTCGCGCTGAACCACAGGATCGTTCAGTTCTGTGTACGCATTGCACACCTCCTTTTTGGCCACAAAGAGCTCGAAACGCTCGGTAAGGCCAGGCACACTACGATGGTACTTGGCGAGTGGCGACATAATTTGCGGATGCTCGCAAATGAATGTTGGATTAATGCATGTCTCCTCGATAAAATCACCAACCAGTTTGTCTAGCAGACGGGCTGTGGTGCGTGGCGCCGGGCACTCCACCTGATGTTTGATGCACAATTGGGACAAAAATGCGTTGGTTTCCGGGCTATTGAATGTGTCCGCCGATGGGAACTTAACCTGAAGCTTCTCCTCGAGTGTTTTGATCATAGAAAGACGCTTAAAAGGTGGCGTAAAGTCAAGCTCTTGCTCGACACCATCCGGCCCATCCGGATGGTATTTAATTTTGTACGACCCGTGTATGGCCTTAACCATGCCAGAAATCATTTGTTCAGTTATCTCAATTAAATCGTAAAAGTCTGCGTACGCCATGTAAAATTCGCAAGTGGTGAACTCAGGATTGTGGGTCATATCGATGCCCTCGTTACGGAACTGGCGACCGATCTCGTAAACGCGATCCATGCCGCCCACAACAAGCATTTTATGATATAATTCTGGTGCAATGCGCATAAACAAATCCATTTTCAGTTCGTTGTGATGCGTTACAAAAGGCTTGGCTGTGGCGCCGCCAGCAATCATATTCATCATTGGTGTCTCAATCTCAAGGAAGCCCAGACGATCCAGAAACTGGCGTACATATGATATAATCTGTGTGAAAATAGAAATAGAATTAATAAATAAATTTACTGCATGCCCATTAAAGGTGCTAGCTTCCTACCTTTGCACGAATCTGGAAGTTTTCGCGCACTTTGCTGTTCAGTATTAGATCCAGATAGCGCTGACGATAGCGCGTCTCCTTGTCTTTGAGCCCGAAATGCAGATGTGGCAGCATGTGCAGACAGGGAGAGAGCAGCTTCAGCTCGGTTGGCATAATGGATAGCTCGCCTTTCTTGGTCTTGCCGGGATGGCCGTTGACGCCAATGATATCGCCACGGCGCAGCTTGGCTGTGTCCTGCTCAAAGGCCTTCTCGCTTTTGTATGACTTGGCACTGGCCATTACCTGCAGCTTGACGCCTTCACCGCGCAGATCGTAAAAAATGAGCTTGGCACCTGACTCACGTATGGCATGAACGCGCCCAGCTACACTCAAATTGACCTGGTCGAGTGTCTCGCCATCCTGAAGCTGAGAATATTGTGTAATAAAGTTTTCCAGCGAGATGCTCACTTGGAATTTGTGTGGATACGGATGATTTTCGGGCGTTTGCTTCAATTCAGCGACTGCAGCCGATCTCAGCTTAAAGTACTCATTCGGTGAGATTTCCTCTTCCTGCTCGGCGGCAGATTTTTTCTTTTGGCCGGCTTCTGGTGGCGCAGCAGCCGAACGCGTTGCTTCCTTCTCAGCCTTTTCCTTGGCCTTTTGTTCAGCCTTCAGACGGCGTTTCAGCTCACTGCAAAAGATTAAAAAGTCAGACGAATTGAATCATTCCTAATTTTGGGTACCAACAGTTTTGTGCCTTTGCTTGGTGCATGCTGCATGGCGCTCACATGATATAATCTTGTAGCCGTCACCGTTGGCAGTTTGAGCGATGACAAATATATTAACTGTCTTAGAGTGCTACGCGCAAACATTTGACAGCCACGAATATAGGTCTTAGTCTATTTATGACAGCCGCGATTGCTACCAAGTATGCACTTCAACTTAACCTCACAGTTGGCGCCTGGTTGGCCGTTTCTCCGTTTTGGCTTTAGCCTTCCAATTATCGCAATGATTGCACGTACTTACTTCTTGGACAGTTCACCAGTTGCAGTAGCCATGCCGATTGGCGTCTAACGAGTTCCGGCTTCGAGGGAAGTTGCAAATACAAAAATGACTGCGAATGCGCCACACACACTCCAAGCGAATTGAAATAAGAGAGCTATACAACAAATAACGATATATCGATAACTATATTTGGAATAAAATACCTCACACTGTCAAGTGCACGCGTTGCCAACGAACTTAAAGCACGTGTTGCTAATATATCAGCTGTTTTGTCAGAGCTTTTTAGCATAGTCCGGCAGCGCCAGGAAAATTAGTTTTGGGATCGTGATGAGACAAGCCGTGAGCCATAAGGAAACTTATGAAACATGCCGTGTTCTTGTCATTAGTCCAATTCTGAAATGTACATCGTCTAAAAATCATCAAACTGTATTTACAAGCAAATCAAAATTACTCGCTTAGAAGTTTCTTCTTTAGGTGCATGTATTCGCCACTTCTATATTAAATCGTAATTGTGCAGCCGGTATTGTTAATTCGTTTTGTTTAATCGGTTCTGTTACATTTTCTTTCTTGATCGTGAGAAATATATATTTTCACGTGCACATCTCCAATCAGCAGGTGAAATTGTGCCGGGTTGCTTGCCTGAAAACTGAGTGTGTAAGTAGAGCACAGACTAAACAAAATACACAAGCAAACGTTTCTAAACCTTATCAAACGTTATAACAGACGAAATATTATATTCGTCAAAAACATAAAAAACTAAAAAAAAAAATAAACTAGTCTTAACAGCTGGGCACAAACCATGGTAACGGTTGGACTACTATCGCGCCTGCTTACTGGCAGCGGCGTAGGCAGCGGCGTTGTCTGCATGCGTTTGCTCACGCGCATCGCCAGCCCCAATAGATTAAGTCTCAATCTAAATCCACGTTGCCTCAGCTTCTTATGCAGCTTCAACAAGGGAAGCGGCAAAGAAGCATCGTCGGCCTCACCAACATTGCCTTTATCGACAACAACAACTACCACAATACTGTCGCCGCTGCTTGTCGCCAAATATCGCAGCTATGCGCGTCTCAGCAGCAAATCCACCACGCAGTGTGCCAGCGCCAATAAAACGGACACCAAATCCTCATCAACGGCAACAGTATCATCCTCTAATGAACTGTTTGGAGAGGCGGCGAACATGGGCCTTTTTGCAAAGTTTAAGCATATGTACAAGCAGTATTGGTACGTGCTCATCCCGGTGCATGTAATAACATCGATTGGCTGGTTTGGCGGCTTCTACTATCTATCAAAAAGGTAAGTAGCCTTCATATGCCCGAGATCAGCTACTCATTATACATATGTACTGGCCTACAGCGGCGTAGATGTACCTGCTCTGCTGCAGTACTTGCACCTAAGCGAGAACATTATTGAGAAGGTGCAAGGCTCTGATATGGGACACTATGCGATTGCCTATCTGTGCTATAAGGTGGCAACGCCGGTGCGCTATGCAGTAACATTGGGTAAGTGACCCCTCCCAAAAAAAAAATAAGAAAAACAGCGTTACAGCTCAAACATATGTTTTCAGGGGGCACCACGATCTCTATCAAATATCTGGTGCAATGGGGCCATATTAAGCCCATGCCAACCAAGAGCCAGCTGATGAAAATGTACGAGGATACAAAGGCCACGCGTGCCAGTGCCAAGGCCAACAAGGATGAGAATCACAAATGATCGTTGGTTATTGGGCGTATACGTCGCTGCCCCCGCCTGGTGTCGTCGTTGTCGTTGTCGCTTCCCGTGCGGCGTTCAGTTGGCTAGTTGTATTTTTTGTTAAACTGTTGCACGTTGATTCAGGCCAAGTGTCGTTTCTGGAATTTAAGTTTCTCGCCCAGACGCATCTGTACACAATACAACCGAATTACTAATAATTAACGACGCTGCCTCCGTTTGAGAGAGGATTACACATCCAATACATCAATATTTCATATATATATTTTGTAATAACATTTTTGCATAGTTTTTGTTAGTTACGAAACAAATTGCCGTTGCGCCGCATGCAAAGGAGACCCATACTCATACATACATAAACCAGCACGCAGCACGCATACAGACACACACAAACATGCATATAACTCAGAGTAAGGCAGCCTCCGATACAGACAAGATGAATTGTAGTATATTTTATAAATGTAATTGAGAAGTTATCGAAAAAGAAAAACCGAACTGGTATAAAAAGTAAACATTTAGCCTTTGTTTTTGAATCAATTGCCCATTATTGCACCACATCGATTACGATTTCTGCAAGCTCTGCTGTCCAATCAGAATTTTAAAAATATCAGCTGGTAGCCAGCCAGACGTGTTCATAGATAAACACAAAATACGCATATAGCTGTCTCTGTCTAACCAACATGCTATCCCACTCTTACGCAATCGGTGAATTACCAAGTCAATATTAGCGATCACTTCTCGCTCGCTAGTCGGCAAATCCAGTTAGATGTATCTATGTGATACATAAGGACAATATAACGCAGTTGATTTAATTGTGGAAAAAAAAAACGAACAAGAATATTTACAAATATCTTCAAGCTGTTCGCATTTAAAATAAAATATTTTCCCTTAATTTTGACCTCGATTGTTAAATGCTTCCCTGTACAAAGGGTATAAAGGTTTTGTGCAGGAGGAGGGATCTTCCACCCCATAGTGTATATATTCATGCATAAGCATGCATTCATGTCATAAGCATCAATAGCCGATTCGAGCTAACCATGACAGTTGATCCCTCTGTCTTCTCCTATTGTCTACGAAGATCAAGTTTGTTTCATATCATAACTTGACCAGCTTCCTTGAAATTTCCGAAATTTAATACACGTCTCCCCTGAATTGTCACAAGGAACTCTGAAAATAAGTTTGAAGCCGGTAATTGTAATGTCAATAGTCTTGATTGGATTTTGTTTTTGCATTTTATATTTCGTTATCATTTTTTTTGTTTTATTTTTTTTATTTTCTTTTTTTTTTGTTTGTAACGTTAGTAAAATATCCAACAATTATAATTGTAACTAATAGTTAAGCCAGAAAAAATATATATAGTAGTAGTTGTTTCTTTCTTTTACAAATAAATAAATAATGTGTCTTGTTTTGTTTTTATTAGTTTTGTATGCTCTGTGTGTGTGTTCGTTAAGTTATAGTAGCTCGTAACATGTAGGGTTGTGTATTGTTTGCGTGTCGCTTGTCGAGGAAACAAGTTACATTTTGTACACATATACATTTTGGTTGCCGTGTGTAACTGTTTTCTATATCATTTACATAAATACAATAAATAAATAAATAAATTATATAAATTAAATAGGCAACAAATAAGGTAGCAATAGCAATAAAAATATGTGCTTGTGAGGGTGGTACGGGTTGGGCATTGGTTACACGGAAACATATTAACTAAACTACATAAGTATGTATAAAACAAACTAAATAAAAAATGTTTATATAAATATATATAAATGTAGATAGATAGATAATAAACAAGGTTCTGCGTAAGTAGATACAATGTATACATAACTCTTTGAGACTAGTTTGATGTTCAATGGGAACGTTGAACGCGGCGGACGCTTGGATTGAATTAAATATAATTTTTGAATAGATTTGCATTTGACTGGAACAAAATAGTTTGAAAAATTTGTAAATGTTAGTTTGCTTTTTCTTTTTTTTTAAATATGGTTGGTGTTCTCTCGTGCTATAATTATTATTTATTATTAGCTGCTAGCATTTATCATAAGTACGTTTCACAATGCAGCTTCAGTTAGTTTTTGTTTCTTCACGCCAAAATGTTTTTACGATTTGTTTTTGTTGTCTCAGGTTTCTGTTTTTGTTTTGTTTTGTTTTGTTTTTTTTTAATAACTAATCATTTGCTAAAAGCTTTTTGTTTTTGCTAGTTTTGATGAGTGTGTGTATGTGTGTTTTTGTATGTGTTGTTTTGCTTTGTTTATGGAGCTGCGCTGCTTAGCGCCCCTATTTTCCCCTTATTTTTATTTTATTATTGATTAATCATTCACCATTTTTTGTTGTTGCTTTTTATGAAATATATACTGATATACATTGCACAAGTTATGGTGAATGCTCAAATTAGTATTTGTTCAATTCATTTTCTTTAATGTTTTTTAGCGTTTTTGTTTTCTTGTTTTTTGTTTTGGTTTTGTTTTGTTTTTTTTTTTTTTTTAATTTAGTTTCCTTTTTTACACAACCACTTGACACGACTTTCGGCAAACCAATGGCAATTATATATAGTTGCATTGTTTTATATAGTTTGAATTGGCAAATCGCTCCATATATATATATATATAAATTTATATACTGTACACAATGTGTTAATGTACGTTTTTTTTCTTTCTGTGTGATATATTCAATGGAGACGGGTCAAAATTTTCGTTAAAGACGCTTAGAAAACAAACTAAATATATGCCAGAGAAATGCAAGACAAAATTTGGTAAAAATAACAATTTTGTTGTTGTGTTGTGTGGTTTCTTGTGTGTTGCGTGTTGTTTTTGCTGTTGTTTATTTGTGTTTAGTATAGAGCGATTGCTGTTGCTTCTGCTGTTGTTTGGCTTGCCGAAAGCGGTGTTACATAAATTGTTATAATTCTTATTTTTTGTTCGTTCATCTTTTTTGAATGTTGTTGTTTCATATGTTCTTGTTGGTTTTCTGTTTTGGGTTTAGCCATCTCTTATATACATCATTCACCTCCAACGATCGTCATACACGCTTGCCGTCCAATTAACCGTTTGTTGTTATTTGGTATTGGATTTGTGTTAAGAATTAGTTTATAGTTAAGTTTTAATTTTAATTTACGCACGTTTGCATTATTGCAAAGTTCTACGAAACATTTACTAAGGTGTTGTGACTTTGCTGTTGTTATTGCACTTATTTTTCTTCTTTTTTTCATTTTATGTTGCAGTTGTTGCTGCTGTTATTGTTGCCGCTTAAGATGGTGTTGCTGTTGCTTTTGGTGTTGCTGTTGTTAATGCTTATTGGATTCAACTGCTAGGTAATTGTGGGGAGTTAGCTTTACGCTCGTTCGTAGAATAAAATATAGGCACTGGATGAAACGAGACAGTTTTCAGGAATAGCATCGCTGACGCTGCAATTATCAATTATTATTAATATCAGTATAAAATATAATAATTAATAAATAAACAATGCATATACCTATTATCATTGAACTCATGCCACTTGTGTGAGACTGGATGCTTACAGAGTGCCACATAATGACCACCAGCCGTCGAGCCTGTACCAACCGGGAAGTTGAGTTTAGTAAAACGGAGGTGCTTGGTTTAAGTTATTGCGACATACCCATATGATTGGAGATCGCATAGAGCGAATAATGCACATTCGAATTTGCGTTGGCGCCATATGAGGCCATATTGAGCTCACGATCCGCTGTGGGAAACTCAACAATATTCGAGAGCTTGCTCCAGCGCGTTTCAGAGAAGCGTTTGAGATCTGAAACAGGGGAAGAGTGATGGGATTACAAATACTATATATATGGAATTGCACGTTGCACTTACGTATCACCAGATATTTGGGGAAACGCTGTATGGTAAAGCTTTTAGTACATTTTCGGCGTGTCTTGCATTTGGAGCATGTGGGCATCTCGTCACCATCTAGCACCTCTTCGCGTATGAACAGATCTAAGCAGGCCTCTAGTTTGCAGCGCGATGACGATGGTAGTGGCACGCTCAAGTCCCAGAATGGGTCAAAGGTAACGCTTGTATTTCCACACGTTGTGCACTTCAGTGTGCTCTTCAATTGACCAACAAACAGATCACGTATCAGGGAATTCTCATGCCTAGCATACCACTCCCATGTCAGATCGGCCTTCTTATTGTCACTAAAATTAGTCAGTTAATCAGTTTGAGGATCGTTTGTAGTTTAATTAGAATAGTTCTCACCTGAGATTATCATCAATGTTAAGCGTTTCACCCTTGACGCCGCTGTTGAGTGCCGAGTGCAGCGAATCAAGAAAGAAACGCAGAAACTCCTGCGCATCCTGTTGATTGTAATCGCTGTACATACGATGCTTTGTCGAAAAGGCGCGCTTCAGTTCCATCGGCGTTACACTGTGCACATTTGTCGTCCACATTTCCTGTATGAGTTTGGCAAATTCTAAAATAAAAAAGATTAAAACTCAATCGTAAATATAATGAATCAGAATACGCTATCGATCACTTACCGTGTAGTATTTGCTGATCCTTGGAGGTTGCCGTGCGCGTGCTGGTATGATGTGCGCGCAGAAAGCGCGTCAGCTCAGTCGTGTGACTCAGGCATTGGATGACCGAGTTCATGAAGCAAGTGTTTCCAATGTTTCTCAGACCGCATAGACCTGTGGGTGAGGGCATATAATCAAAATTTTTAATTATTAAGAGCCATTAGAGTTATTATAGCTAACTGGGCGTGGCCCAAAAGGCACTCCCCAATTCGGATGGCGTGTTATGGATTTGCCTTCTTCGTGTTCGATTGACGGCCGGCATTCTGAATGGTTTTGAGATCTAGTTTATGCGGTAGTTCCTACGTATGTATATCTGGCTCACTATGTCAACTGGCATACTGGAATAATCTAACTGACATCTAATACCTACAGGCCGAGCACAGCCTACTTAAAGGCGAACTGAAGTTAGAGAAATTTCTAGAATGTACATAACTTGTGTGTGCTCTATTTTATAAACATGTATTATGTTTTTTTTCGAGCCATTTGTATTTAACTCGCATCAAAATAAGTTAAGGCCTACTTAACCATTTGTTATTTCAAAAGGAAATTTTCCAATCGAAACTGAATAACTATGAACATGAAGCAAACTCTTAGATCAGTTTTCATATAGATTGGAATTATCCAAAACTTCGATCTTAATGAACAAATGGACTTATTGCAGTCCTTTTCCCAAACTTTGACAGATTTCCGCAAGTGCCAAATAAGATAGGTTAACTCACCCTCGAACTTCTCGTCCCGGTTGCTTTTGTAGCCATCATCGAGGTTATTATGCTTATTGCTCAACGATGATGTGCCAATGGAAGAGGATGTGGCGTTGGTGTTGTTGCGTCCGCTGTCCCGATCCCAATAGCGGCTGGATGTTGGCGAGACAGGTGGTAGCACTGAACGAACGGTGCTTCCGGTATTCCGAGACACCTACACGAAATACAAATTCGATTTATCGATGTACATACAAAAATACGAAAAAAAATCGCAATGACAAAATAACGGTTATTCAAAAGCATCGAGCAATCGATCGTTAGAAAGGGATGCATGTGTGTTGAAATTGGCTGGCGTTGTATTGTTATGCGATCGAGCGAGCGAACGAACGAACGAACGAACGAACGAGTGAGCGAGTGAGTGAGTGAGTGTGTTTGGCGGTTAAAAGAAAATACAAACATGCAAACTTAACGAAACGCAACAACGCAACATGACCAAAACATAAAATTGTGCATGTGCAGGCGAGTTGAGCGAGCGAACGAGCAGGGGTTAGCGAGAGGGAGACAAAAATAAACCATATTGATATCGATAGGCAAAACGAAACCAAAATCCAATTCGAAATCAAGGCGCGTTGTTCTGGAAAACCTGCACCAAAATATAAGCTACAATAACCAAAAACGCATACACGCACACACACACACAGACGAACATACATACAAAATCAGGATATGCTGAAAACTAAAAACGGTTTACGGTGTATTCTGTGCTGGTGATAAAAATGGACAAGGGAGCTTCTTAGAGAAGCAGCTCCTTTAGCTGTTGCTTAAAACTTTTTAAACTATAAACTGAAACACACAATGAGACTAAAAGAGAGAGAGAGAGAGAGAGAAAGAAAGAGAGATTGGGCAAAGAGCGCAATGAGAGCGCCACCCCCAAGAAAGTTGGGCGCCACTTACGCTGTCGCTGGCTGTGACGCTGTTGACTGTGGCGGCGGCGGCGGCGGCAGCGGCGGAGGAGGAGGAGGAGGAGGAAGAGTAGGCGCCCTGGGCGCTGGCAGAGACAGCAGGTGCTGCTGCTGCTGCTGCTCCGCCCGCATCGTTGTTGTGCTGATGATGCTGATGCTGATGATGATGATGATGTTGATGAAGATTTACCTTGTGGCTGCTGGGCGATGCAGTCGCCGCTGTAATCGCTTGGCCAGCACAATCGGAATTGGTCGCTTTGGCCAACAGACTGTGGGCAATGCGACTGGCCGATTTACTCATGGGCGCCACGGTCGCCGTTGCTGCCGTCGTGGCATTGTTGCCGCTGCAGTTGCTTGTTTGTGTATTGCCGCTGGTCCGATATGCGGCACGTGTCAAGGAGCTGCTATAGCCGGCCGCGATGCGTGCGTTTTCCATGTCGCCGCTGTAGCGCTGCTGCAGATTACTGCTGCTGCCAGAGGTTACTGCTGCAGCAGCGACGCCAGTTGCTGTTGTTGCCGCTGCTGCTGTTGCTGTTGTTGCCGCTGCTGCTGTTGCATTATTGCGCACCGGCGCTGGCTGTCGCTTCTGTTCGCTGAGATTATTGAACTTCTCGATGGAGGCCTTAATACTGAGTGAATCGATGCCATAGCGACGCGCATTGCTGGCATTGCCGCTGCCGTTCTCCCGTTCCAAGCGTTCCCGCTCACGCTCACGCTCCCGCTCCCGCTCCCGCTCCTTGGGCCGCTGTTCGCCATTTGTGTGCTTATAATTGTTGAACTTCTCATAGCTGGCCGCAAAATTCGAATTGGAAAACGAGATGATTGTGGATTTGGGCCGCATCGCACGGTGGCCAATTGGCTTGTCACCGCTGCTACCGCTGCTGCTGCTGCTGCTTAGCTGCTGATTGCGCAGCTGCAAGGGCGGCGTTATGGGCTTAAAATAACAGATATTGGCCAACTTTTGGCCCGATGTTGTTGCTCCAGTTGTTGTTGTTGTTGCTGTGGCTGCTGCTGCTGCTGTTCCTGTTGCAGCAGCAACTGTTGCTGCTGTGCTTGTCGGTGTATCGTCGCTATCAATGTAGCTAATGTCATCGTGTTGCTGCTGTTGGCGTTGCATGCTGTTGTTATTGCTGTTGCTATTGTTGCTGCTGCTGCTGTTGTTGTTGTTATTATTGTTGTAGCTACTGTGACTATTCATGGCGCTGTGATTGTTATTGCACTGCAGCACAAGCGGCTTCAGTTTGCCAGCCGCAAGTCGTCCGCTTGCTGCCGCTGCTGCTGAAGATGATGTTGCTGCTGTTGTTGTTGTTGTCACTGCTGCTGCTCCAACTGTTGCCTTTTGGCCCAATGTCAGTTGCTGTTTGCTTTGGCTCTGACTATGGCTATGGCTATGACTATGGCTATATCTAATATCGATCCTGTGGACGGCTGTATTGTTGCCGCCAGCTATTGTTGTTGTTGTTCTACTGGCGTTGCTGTTGCTGCTGCTCGTGCCGGCCGCTTTATTGCCATTGAGCGTCGTCGGTCGACGCATGTCATTCAACGGAATGTCGCTGCCCCCAATGCCACCGTTTGTTGCTAACGCGGCTGCAGCTGCTGCTAGTTTACTGTTGCCGTTGCCGCTGCTGTTGCTGTTGTTGTGGTTGTTATTCTTGTGATCGTCGCTCGTTTTGTTGCGCTTGTTGCTTTTGCCAGCTTGCGTCTGTTTGAGCGTCACCTGGGCATGCGCCAGGTCGCACTCGGCCTTGAGAAAGCTGGGATCCTTGTAGCTGGATACCAAGAAATAGCGCTGATTGGCCGCACGCACAGGATTAACAGCGCCGCCGCCGCCGGCAACTGTGCTTGAATTGTGTCCGGCTGCACGCACGCTGCTGCCGCTTGGTCCGGTCCCGTTGCTGGCAACGTATTTGAGAGCAGTCGCTTGCTTGTGGACAATGCCGACGCCGCCAGCGCCACTGGTTTTCAAGGATTTGGCGTGTCGCGACGCCGTCTGGTGCTGCTGATGTTGTTGTTGTTGCTGGTGTTGTTGACTATTAATGTGGCCTCTTTGCTGTTGGCCGTCTGTTGTCACTGCTGCTGCCGCAGTATTTCCCTCGCGCTGCAGTTTAGACGCTGGAATCTTATGGAATCCTCTGGTTTTCTTAATGTCTAACATCATTCAACAGCTCCTTGTCGATTGGCGGCTGCTGCTGCGGCGACACGACGCGTTGCTTCTCTGAATTGTGGTTTTCTTTCTCTCTATACTTTCCTTGTTGTATGTATTTGCAATGCTTTTTTTCTTATTTAACGCCTTGATATTATTATTAATTCTTTCTGTTCTATTATTATAATTATTATTACAGTTACGGATAGTTGATGTTCTTCTTGTTGTTGTGTTCAATTTTTTTTATCGAATTTGAAAAGGTGTGTTGTGCTTACCAAAAATACATACTCTCAAAACTACCTTATACACACATTTGGACTGTTTGCAAATACAAACTACTGCGTTAAACTAAAATTTTTCAAGTATGGATAGTTTTGAACTTTGTTTGGAACGCCTGCCTAAATTATTATCGATTCGATCAGTTCTACAAATTACGGTTGCAGTTGCGTTATCGATAATTTATTGGTTTTTGGTTTCGATTGCTCTGGGTAGAATAGTTATATGATTTTTGTCTTCGTTAGCTTTCAAATTACTTGGTTTAATCAAGTTAATAATCAAGTGAGTTAGTTTGGTTAGTTAAAAGGGACGCGATCTGCAAGAGTTTAGCTAAAAATATATAGAAATACATATATATTGATGTAATCGATTAATTGAAAAATGTGTGTAACGGTTTAGCCACAAAACGAATAACAAAGAAAAGCCAGATCGTAAAAAACAGAGAACATGGAGCAAGAGAAAGAATGTATATAAATGCCAAGTGAGCTTTAATGTGTATATATATGTAAATATATAAATGCATGATGATTAATCGGGTTGGTTGCTTCACCGACCGTGACCGCAGTAAAGCAAAACTCTCCTAACACAAAGGTTAAGGGATGGGGCTGTGGTTGGGGTTGGGTTTGGGCTTGGGCAAGGCAATAGCAACAATGTATCGTTATTCACACACATACGCACACGCACACAAAATTCAACACACACAGAAGCTTATGCCTATCGATAATTAGTTAACAGTTATCGCTTGGCAGCTGCTCGTCGCGGATGGCAACCCTGGCATGCGATTAGTATTAATATATTTTTTGGCTGTCAGTTGCTTAGATATCCTGGCTTATTGCATTTTCAGCTCGTTTACCTTGCTGCGCGCAGCGGCGCTCTCTGCCAGCGTCAGCGTTGCTGTGGCGCTGACATCACCATCAGCATCGGCGTCGCCATCAGCTGCGCCATTGACATCACCATTGGCCTTGCCCTTGCCAGCTGTGACCGTTAGGTTATTAACTGTGGCCGACGTCGACGCCGCCGCATCGTCTGTGGTATCCGCTGCCGACCCGCTGGAGCTGTCGTAGATGGCATTGCGTTTGGGCGACGTCGACAGCAGCGATAGTCCATTAAGCTTGGCGTCCAGCCCATTGCTGTTCGTCTCCAGCGCAGGCGCATGGCCATTGGTAATGGTCTTTTCCGGCACATCCTGTGCAGCGTTGCGTCGCGTTCGATTGCTGCGCAGCGTAAAAGTGGCCGTTGGTACATCGCCGCTGCTGTTGCTGCCGCTGAGCGTGTATCTACCAGAGCCGCTGCGCTGCCGAAGATGTGATGTTTCGCTGGCCGATGTGTCCCCGCCGCCGGCATCACTGTTGCTGCTGTATAGGCGACTGTAGCGGCTGCTGCTGCGCGGTCTGTCCAGTGTAACGGTGCAGGTGGCGCTGTTATCATTGTTGTTGTTGCGGTTGTCGGTGTCGGCTTCATTGACCGCCGATCTGGAACGTGACAGTTCACAGTTGGGTTTATAGTTGGCCGGACTGTACTTTTCGTATATGTCCAGGGCAGATGTGGCAACAAAATGTGCTAGGGATGATGATGAGCATGACAAACGTTTTGAGCTGCTGCCGTTAGCTGTCGCATCGTTGCCATTGCCATCTGCACCGCTCGGTGGCAGCTTTTTGGCAGCATCTCGGCGTTGCTTCAAGCCCCAATCGTCTTTCTTAGTTGCTGTGGCTGTTGTTGTTGTTGTTGTGCCTGTGGAGCTTGTTGCTGCCCCAGCTGCTGTCCCGTCGCCATTCGATGTTGTGCCCTTTGCTCGACGCGGCAACTAAACGTTTTTTTTTTTTTTTTTGCATGTTTGTTCGTGTCATGGTTGTTGTTGAAACATTTATACAGATGTTGTGACATGTTGAATGCGATGTTTGGTTGGTTGTGTGATATAACGGTAACGGTAACGTTTACGATCATATTTTTATGTGTTTCATATGATGGGCAGCAACACAAAACCAAAATTCAAATTAATACAAAAAAAAAAAAAAAAAAAAACAAGAAAAATAAGATTGTATACAATAAACTCCAAAAGAAATGCAGTAAAAAGGAAAAAAAGTCGAAAGAAAATAGACAAACCATCGCATACCCAGTAAAAACCAAGATTTGCGTAAACCGCCCGTAAGTATGCAATAGGCGCAACACGACTTTACACGCGCGCCTCCATTCGTAAAATTAGGCCCATCAACTGATTAATGTTTATTTTTCCACATTCCTTGGAAACTCAACATGCACTTTGCAATGCTGTTCAGTTTAATTGCATTTTAGCAAAGACATTTGCCTGACATTGTTAACTTTGTAGAGACAAATTTATCGATTTAGCATTGCCACTATTTATAGAATTTGCGACAAGAGCAAACGAAACGCAATATATACGATTGATAAACTTTGTACTTTTCCCCAACTGTTAAGAACTTTGACAAGGACACGCTCCAGACACATTTTATGTATCATGGTTAAACTTGCCTCTCAGGTTTTCAAATTTAAGTCGCTTTTTCGTTGAAAGTAATTTGGATTTTTAAGGCTATGATTATGGTTTAGAAAAAGTCGCAAATAAGGTCGATAAGAAATGGTAGCTGCCCAGACATAAAAGTCATTGTATTTTGTATTTTTAAATAATTTTTTTGCGAAAAACGTATGACTCACTTAATAAAATTATAAAATATATTATTGCAATCATAAATTTTCAATTTTTTTTTGTATAAGGATTGCGAACTTTCAGAATTAAGAATATGCTCTGAAACCAAAGCATTTTAATTTGTGGGCGACCAATACAAATGATTAATGAAGTCGAAAAATTGTGACGATGACTTGCACAAATTTAACTGCCATCGAAATCAAGAGAAGGATAAATATTCAAGTTGTCATCGACATGGATAAGTCATGCGTTAAATTGGTTTATCAGTTGATGGTACGCCCTATATGTTTTATTTCATTTTGCAGATTTATGACAAATACATGCATAGTACATACGCATGCATACGCCATATATTTGATATAAATACGTGTGCATATGTATTTATGCCCCACAGACACACACATATACGCACTTACGAACAATGAATGCATCGTCACATTAAACATACTGGGAATTTTGAATTTTTAACGCCGCCCGATGCCAACAGCAAATGTTTTCACATACATATGTATGTATGAGGATAGCACAAGGGCGAGCCACATTTGTTGTTGTTGTTGCAGTAGCTGGGGCTGTTGTTGCAGTTGGTAATGCTGCTGTTGTTGTTGTTGGTGGTGCCATTGGAGCTGTGCCAACAAGTGGTTTGGCCTGGCGAAAACATTCCATTGCCGTAGCGCGGCGGGTGGGTCTATGTTTGTGGTCATGACGCATTCGCCGTCTTATCGCAGCTTTCAACATACACACGCACACATGTACGTACACTTACATATGTATGTATGTACATATATGACCACTTAACAGCGAAAGAACAACAACAAGAGAACGAAAACAAATGACAAGTTTGCAAAAACTAGAAAAGTAACTTCAAAATGCCGCCAACTGTCAAACGAGTGTCAGAAAAAGAACGGTAAATACACAGTTAAAGCTCTAGAGGGTGTATGTGTGGGGAATATGGGGAGGAGGGGCGCGAACTGCCATGCGTTTATGCAGAGCCAACATGGGTGTGCCTGGCTGGATATGACTATCAAACATATGCACATACACATGTAAATACATGTACATATGCGAATGTGCGTGAAAAGGTGGGCAGGCAGTGGGGGGTTGTGGTTGGTCTAGGTTTTGCGACCAGGTAAGTGTATGTCATGGGCTACTTGTGACTTTTGGATAATGCACAACATGAAACGCGCAGTCAAAGCTGATTAAAAATAGTTTTATATACTAAAGTAACACACACTCACACAAGCGCACTTTGCATATATACACACACACACACACATACATACATATGTATCAAAGCACACGCACAGCTACAATTAGATACCAAACACATACATATACACCTACACGCATACGACTGTTCCCTATTTCTGTAATTAAAAACCTCACGGAAATAAATTGTTACTTTTACTTTTCTTACAAAAAACTCTAAATGAATTATATTATTTTGAATACCCCTATATGCATTAAATACTGGCCAAAATGTTGGGCCTCTAAAGTCTATATATTTCTTTGATGAACATCAAAAATCGAGTCTGTCTTTCCGTCCCTATGAACACGTCACTATCAGTATAAACACAGATAAGTAGTTTCTTGATTTCTAGTGTACCAGGTACTAGCATGTTTGCATTATGTATAAAAATATGAAATAACAATTATAAAAGTAAAAATTGTTTTTAAATTGAACGTCATCTTTGTGTCCTGAAACATTTTTAATGTTCGGGCAGATTTCCATAGAAAAGAAGCGCAACTTGCAACATGTTTGTGTGTCGGAATTGAAGGTTTATTTAAAGTGACGTATAGCCCATAGGGGTTTACTAGCACGATACTCTCGACATTTATGATAGTAACAATAGAATGCAAGTTAGGCGGATATGACATTCCACCTTGCTAAAAGGTGTGGCCCATCTTATAGCTCTGATGATCTACGGCTACGCAAATCCACGCCGAGCATGGTATGCGTCTATTTTTTGGCAGGGTATTTCGTAATCGGAGACTTCAGACTAGATAACTCTTATATATTATCCTTAGCATTGTAAATTGCATCAGATTAATAAATAAGATTTTGATAGATTTGAAAATAAAGCATTCTTGGAACAGCCCTTATATTTGACAAATATGAACATTAATAGGTATATGCATGTGTGTATGTGAAGCTAGTATATGCTAGCTATATAAGCTATATGTGCAAATACAATTATACAATTACGACAGAAACGAATCTTTGACTATTGTAATAGATTACTCTAGTTGACACACAAAAATCACCAAATGATTCGAGAGTGTGTGTGTGTGTTTATGTATGTATATGTGTACAGATGTGCGATTGTGCGTATGGATGTTTTGTGTTTTGTTCAAAGCCCAAATAGTTTCGAGTTCGAGAGTGAAGCCTTAGAGTTTTTTAAGGTGATAAGAGATCTACACTAATATACATATTGCCCAGCATAATACAAATACAGAATACTATATAGAGCTCTGTTCAGCCATCAATTGAACATCACATATGTATGTATAAGTATGTATGCATGTACATCAAAAATTAATCAAGGGGGAATAAAAGGGGTTGGTTTGGGGGTAAAAGGTGTGTGTGGCTAAAGCGATAATTAACATTAAAGTAAACACTCACTCCGCATCGGCCGTACGAAACTGAATCATAATTGGAGCCGCTCAAATACGATGAACTATTCCGATATCCAGAATTGAGAGCAGATCCGGAACCGCCGCTCAGATACGATGTAGATCCGATGCTATTCCGCTGTGTGTTGACGCGCGGCGTATACGCATATGCTGAATAGGAGCTGGGATAGTAGCTGCTCGCGCTGCTGCTGCTGTGATGATTGTAGGCGGATGTGGACGATGAGCCGGCTGAGGAGGTGCCCGTGCCAGCTGATGAGGGCAGCAATTTCGATAGGCTGCTGCCGCGATGATCGTAGTAGCTACTGGAGTAGCGCGAGTAGCCGTTGCTTGTGCCGCCGCCGATGCCGCTGGTGGTGCTGCTGCTGCTGGTGCTGGTCGAGCTACCAGCTCCGCTGGTCGACGTTGTGCCGTAAAGACTGCCACTGCCCGCTGCTGACGTTGACGATCTACGCGGCGAAATCACACGCATATTAGTGGCAGCAGCGTTCTACCGCTTCAATCGGACCAGTTTGCCGTTTTGCTGTTTGCCTTTGTGAATTGACTCGTTATTGTTGTTGCCGCTGCCGCTGCTGACGTTACTGATTTGGCAGAGCGTCCTGTTCCTCGCTCTCCGCTCGCTCGCTCTCTTTAGATTTTTCTTTAGCTCCTGTTTTATTTTTGTAATTGTTGCTCTGGTTTTTTTTGCTGTGAGAGTGAGAGTGAAAGTAGATGCGTGAGTAGCTTTCAAAATGGCAGCGCGCGAGATGCACTCACTCACCTTGGCTTGCAGTTGCTCTTTCCGTTTTCTTTTCTTTTTTTGTAGATTATTTACATAGTTTTTTTTTTATTTAGTTAGTGTTGTTGCTTATGCTACATTAAAGACCCGTTATTGTTGCAGTGGAGAAGAGGCAAACTGTAATTAAAGGAGAATTTGTCATAAACGACCTTCGTCAAGCTACATATAAATAAACATATATATATATATATATATATATATATCTATTTATCTATATATATCTATCTATCTATATATATATGCATATATATATATATATATAGGGTCTGACTAACAGTTACAGCTGATTACTAATTTCATAAATTTATCACAAACTTAACAGCGCCGCCGACGTCGCCCACTTCGTCGTGTCACACTTGTTTACAAAATAACAAAACAACAAAAATCACAATATTTCAAGTTTCACGACGCTGCAACTTGTCACAACAACAACTCAATGCAACTGCCGGTCTGTGTGAGTGAGTGGGGTAGCTATGCGGTAATAGTGAAGTTGCGTATGTTTGTTTTCATGTGTGTGTGTGTATAAGACGCCGCCAGGCTGTCTACGGCCCTATACGGCGCGCAATGTCATTGTAACCGAGGAAACCGTTGCTCGTGTTTCGCAGTGTGCGTGCGTTCGTGCATGTGTATGATAGGGCGCCACAACCTCACACACACATACACGTAAACAAACGGACGGACACATGGCCACTATCATATCGATCTCTCGTTCATAAATACAACTACAGTTATAACTACAACTATAAACATCACTATAGCAACTTTTTTAAATTTACACATTCCAATGCGCCTATGTGAAGCAGCGATGCCGAAAATCACGTCAAAAATCGAAATTATTATAATTAAAGCAACAAAAAAAAAAAGAAAAAAGGCGAATCTATTTATAAAAGCGCTTAAAAGTACACACACACACACAACTGGTTGGCGCTGGCGGTCGCCACGTTCCCGTTGGTTGGGTGATACGGCGGTGGCGGCAGTAGTAAAACTGCGCTGCTATGCCTGGCCTATAGCGCCATATGCGCAACTGAGATAGCAATATTGATATTGGCGACAGCGACACACTGAGACACACACACCAAAAGGCGACGAACACAAACATATACATACGAATGTATGAATGTACATATACGCGGCCAAGCAAGCAACGTACGAATTACGCAAAGTGAAATATCTTTCTCAAAAATGGAAAGTGGAAAAGTGACGACTATGACTGTAAATTTCGTTTTAGAACGCGAACACTTTAATATAGATATTTGATGAGGGGAATGCAGCGCCTTGCCAAGCAGTATATTTATTTATAAAATTCATCATTCACACACAACCCACTCACGACGCTAGAAAAAATTCTAAATACGTCTTATTGTTTCAACGCTTGGCACGCACACCAAAAAAAAAAACAATTTATTGCACTAACTGAGCTTCTTTACATGGTAATAACTTATATTATTGGCTTTTATATGCAATTTTCAGCCCACAGCACGCAGAACTCACTTAGGAGCGAGTCAGTTTTGCAAACGAACTACCGAAATCTAGGGTTGCATCGATGAGGGTATCGATAAGTTAATATATTGTATGGTTTTCTATCGCACTCCATGTCAACTCATAACCTATCGACTTCAGTGGCCATCACCAACAACAGATAAAGTGGCAACACCGCCGTGTATATACATTTTGAGAGAAAATTTTGTTCAGGTGTGAAAAATCTATGCAATTAATTCTCGTTTATAAATAAATTAAATTTAAATGCAAATTGCAACATGACTTAACTAGTACATGTCTTAGATATTGTCATTGCTTGTGCAGTACGTTACGCCGTATTTACGGAATTATGAACAGTACCCTGCAGCCGCAAATTGTCGCGTCGCATTACATTTAGTGTTGCCAACTTTTGCATTTGCAAAAAAAAGCTATCTCGTCAAATTCGCACTACTGTGCTTTAAAATTCACATATTTTTTCGTGCAAACACACATTAGATGGCTACACAGAGTATTTATGAAAAAACTCTATTTCCAAATTGATAAGCTAACATTTTTCAGCAGGACTGCTCATCACCGTCGTACCAATTAGCTTACAAGCATTTTAAGGACCCTGGACATTAAATAGCTAAATCTAACCGGAAAAGGCTGAGTGGGCAACACTTTAGCCTGCGCCGCCGCCAACGTCGTCACACAAAATGAAGTGAGCTACTACACAACAAAGAAAATAAACTAAACTGAATATTGAAAACTTCAACAAACAATACAATAACATTTTTATTTATCGGTTTCTTTTTCCCGTGTACAGTAAACCAAGAGGCACAGCAGTTTTTTGTTAATTTTCTGAAATTTCAATTTGTCTCGTCGTTATCATCATCCGCATCGTAATTTTTAGCAGGACTCTCTTATTACCACCCATCGCCCGCCCGCCCAGCTAGCTTTGTGGGAAACATTGTATTAAAGTTCGTTTACTGGAACATTTTCTCTAGCACCCAGGAGCTTCGTCTTTTTACTACTCTTCACTTCTCCAACGAGACGAACACACAACTACTTAGGTAAGTGCTTCCTGTTATCAGCTCCATTTTCATTTTAATTTATATGATCTGTCTTACAGTTATGTCATCGACCGCCGGCAAACGTAAGGAAATATACAAATACCTGGCGCCATGGCCATTGTACTCCATGAACTGGAGTGTGCGCCCAGACAAACGTTTTCGTCTTGCCCTGGGCAGCTTCATCGAGGAGTACAACAACAAAGTGCAAATCATTAGCCTGGACGAGGATACCAGCGAATTTAGTGCTAAAAGGTGAGAAGAGAGTAAGCATGTGCCGAGCCTTAAATACGCTTGGAAAACCTATGGTAAGCATGCTGTACATATTTCATTGCTTGATTTGTAATTCTCAACAAGTTAATGCTTCCAAAGGAGGACAGGACGTTTGCAATCCTTGAGTACATATTTACTATCGTCTGTTGTCTGCTGATTATATTACCGAAAGGTTCTTGAAATAGCTATACAGACAACCTGATCAAATTTGGTGCTTGTACCTTGGTGTTTTAACACAGACCTAAGTCCGTCAGCTTAATATTAGTTTTTATACTGAAAAGGTCACTTAAACCAATCATATGGCAATAATACGATATGGTATGTCGATCTTAGTCGCACAGCAGTGTTTATCATATAACTCGACCCATGGGAGTTATTTATTAATACCTTTTAGATAAAATATTTTCGTCATGATAACATTTTTTATTTATCAAGTTTATTTAAACAAAAACTCAATTGGCAATCGATCGTCCGCCAGGTGTAAATATGAGTGGTCCGATACGTCTATCAACTTAGAGACTAGTTTGCATGGAAACAGACAGCAGGACGAGGCTATGGCCATCTGATTGTTGATGATGACCAAGAATAAAGCCTGCATGGGGTCAGAGTCCCAATTTTCTGGGGGTATTATAATCTTGTGACGAAATGTATTAAGTTTATGTGTGAACATTTTTGGTTTTGATGACTACTACCGATTAATATTTCATATGGTTTTAGAAAGAATAATTAGGAAAAGAGTTATTGTTTGGGAAGCTTCTGTTATTCACTGTTTCATAGTGGACTTCTATATTTATGTCTTTTATAGGAATACTCGTTCTGGAATTAGAAATTCGTTTAAGAGCATTTGTGTGTGTATACAAGCGTATTTAATTTGCGGAGTGCCACTGATGGCCGTTTTTTCATTAGTTAATTACTAAATTTTCTGTTTTTCTCTCGATCAATTGCAGCACCTTTGACCATCCATATCCTACAACAAAAATCATGTGGATACCAGACTCGAAAGGCATCTATCCCGATTTGTTGGCCACAAGCGGTGATTATTTGCGCGTTTGGCGCGCTGGTGAACCGGATACCCATCTGGAGTGCGTGCTAAATAATAACAAAAACAGTGATTTTTGCGCGCCGCTAACATCGTTTGACTGGAACGAGGTGGATCCCAATTTAGTTGGCACATCATCCATAGACACCACCTGCACAATATGGGGCCTAGAGACAGGGCAGCCGCACGCGCGCGTTTATGTGGCTGGGCATGTTAAGACACAGCTGATAGCACATGACAAGGAGGTCTATGACATTGCATTTTCACGTGCCGGCGGGGGCCGGGATATGTTTGCCTCAGTTGGCGCTGATGGCTCCGTGCGCATGTTTGATTTGCGTCATCTGGAGCATTCGACCATTATCTATGAGGTGGGTTCCAATAGCTTTGATATATATTGTATATTTATTGATTCATTTGTCTTGTTTAGGATCCTGCGCATACTGCGCTGTTGCGCTTGGCCTGGAATAAACAGGATCCAAATTACTTAGCCACTGTTGCCATGGATTCATGTGAAGTTATTATTTTAGATGTTCGTGTTCCTTGTACACCTGTTGCAAGACTGAGCAATCACAGAGCGTGCGTCAACGGTATTGCGTGGGCGCCGCATAGGTAAGCAATATCCAAATTAAAATACCCAACAAATATTTATCAAGTTTAAATCGGTTTGCAGTTCCTGTCACATTTGCACTGCCGGTGATGATCACCAAGCACTGATCTGGGATATACAACAAATGCCACGCGCAATCGAGGATCCAATTTTAGCCTATACAGCTGCTGAAGGCGAAGTCAATCAAATACAATGGGGTGCCACGCAACCCGATTGGATAGCCATTTGCTATAACAAAGCGTGCGAGATCCTGCGGGTCTAAGAGTCAATTTTTCTTACCACCCATGCAACTTGTCCCCCCTCCCGACCCACACTGCTCTGCCCTGTGGCTGTGATGTGAGTATGCTGTGGCTGCAGAACGCACAGTTGTCAACACACCCAACAACAGCAGCAGATGCAACACCAACACACAGATACACATACTCAAACACACACACATGCGGATACAAAACGCAATGTAGTTGTAGGTTTTGTAGGCGCAGCGGAAGAAACGCGTTTTAATTACATAAAATACACATATATAGTTTTGTATTCGGACGTCGATTTATATCCCACAATCCCGCATCCGCATCTGCATCCCAACATGGTGTAATGGTCGCCAGTGTCTGTGGGTCAACAAAGGTAAAAATGAGACGCGTAGGCGGAGCAGCCGGGCAATTCTATTAGGGTCTAGTTTTTTAATGCTCTCTGTGGCCAGGCCAGGCACATTTAGCATCCTTAGCTTAGTTGAACATAATGTTATGATATATAAGTCTCAAGGTATAACCAAAATATGTATTGCTATTTGTAATTTATTTGACTCGTTTCGCACGTTATGCTGAAGAACCGGACGCTTAGTTTTATTTATTGACATGTCTGGCTTATTAACATTCTGTTTTTAAGATGGCAAAAACATATACACATAAAAAAAAAACAAGATGAACAAAAGAAAAACAATGTCCTACCTCGTTTTCCAACATGTAAAATGTTGTTAATATTTGTGTCTAACCGCATTAAGAACAACAACAACAACAAACCAAACAAACAACTACACGCAAATGAGAGAAAACCCAAATGAAAAAAGTATCCAAAAAGACGCTAAAGGCTTCTTTTTGCTTTTGTTTTTTTTTTCATATTTTTTTTTGGAAATGTTTTTTAATTTTTTGTTCAAATGTTTCTTACACGTTTTCTATTAGAACCAAACACCAAAACAAACAACAAAAGGACTTAAGCAAACGTAAACGCAAACGCAAAGCAAACATAAATAAGCGAAAATACTTGTATTTAGAAAACAGAAATGAACTAAAAAAAAAACAAAAAAGGAAGAAAAAAAACAAAACAGCAACTGCACAACCACAGCTAAATACAATACTTACTATTTAAAATACAACTAAAACAAAAACCGAAATATTATATTGAGCGAGAGAGAATACAAGATTGTTGCTATCCATTTAAAAAAAACACAAAACAAAAACCAAAACAAAATGAACATAAAATAATGACTGCATTCAATTACCATTAGCTTCATAAAATACAGTCAGGCCGAATGATCGAACGATCCTTACTCCTGAGAGCAAAAAAAAAAAAAAAAACAAAACAAAAAAGAAACAATACTAATCCACAACAAATTAAATACATTTTCTATGGTCGAAACTATAGTGCGCCGCTCTGAGACTGAAATAAATGAGAATCCTTTTAGATGAGATGCCTTTTTGTTGGCTCAGAGTTATCTGTTCAAACTCCAAATGCTAATATATACAAATACAACTGATGCTGTTCTTGATTATGCGTGTAAATACAGAAGAGCGTACCACTCTTTACTTTATTTTTATTGTTTTCTCCAATAACAATCACAATCTGTAAACACTTGACAAGACTTTTGCGCAGTTTCAATTGAATATAGATAAACCGATAAATCCTTTTTAATATGTACACCTGTACGCACACATGTGTACATACATAACATACATATGTAGATACATTGATATACATATATATGTACGTTTTTGGCAAACGGTTTCTGTAATTTTTAGCATTCATTATCCGGTTAGATCATTAAAAGACAAGATATTCTTTATACTTACACACATGCGCATATATACTATACCCACATACACACACACACACACACACACACACACACATACACACACACACATACACACTGTAACCAATTATTTCAATTTTTTCTATGCGTTTGCATTTTTTAATTTCACACACAGACATGTACATCATGAATTGTAACTACATATACAAATATAAGCATATATATGATCATATATATATGTATATATATATATATATATATATATATATATATATATAGGACATCTGGTACCATGCTGGGTCAGCGCAGAGTTTTGAAACTAGGAGGCAGCAGGAATGTGAGGGGCGCAGCAACAAAAGAGAAGATCCCAAAAAAAAAAAAACAAAAAATATTTAAATAAACAATTTTTAAATAAACATTTGTTGTCTCTCCACTTAAATCAAATCGGGCAAATCGGGCGGCGCACATATATTGCCAATATCGACTGTTCCACATGGCTCCTTGACACCAGGTGCACTGCCACTGTAAGATATAAGATTATACTTGATTACCAGATTCATCTAATAACTAGGCTGGCCTACCTCTCTTTCGGGGCATGCATGGACTTCACGACGAGCAGCTCGTTAGCCTTGAGCTTCATGAGAAGAATCTGGAGGTGGCCGCTGATTTGGGAACGCTGCACAACAGACTCGTCCGGCTTGACCTCCTCGCTGTAGGCCATTTGAAAGATTTTGCCCTTGATCGTGACGCGCACGTAGTTCGTCTGTATGTCCACATCGATAAGGGACGTGTCCAGATGCCTGTTTTGGCCGGAATGGAAAATGCATTTGGAATGAGTGTCATCAATGGGACAGGTGTGGGACTACGTACTTGTATACTTGCAATAACAGACTATAGTGGCCAGCCTCATCCTGGAAATTAAATTGTAGCTTAGCCTGATTGATATTGTAGGGTCGGCCGCAGGGCGCAAATAGATGAGGGATTCTCTTTGGCTTTTGCGTTAATGGGTTTGGCTGCGACTCCTGCTTCTCTCTGCCGAGCTTATGCTGGCGCGCAATCTCGGTGCGTATTTCCGGGCAATGCTCACTTTTGGCATTCCAGAAGGCGCGTGTACGCTCATCCTCGTCCTCAATGGCGGCGCACTGTTTGGCCAGCTGTGCCTGCTGCTCGGCTACGCGAATACGCTGTTCATCCCGTTCAATGGCCTGTGCCGCCTGGCACTGCACAATAACAGCTCGATGCTGTGGTAGGAGGCGTTGCGCCTTCAGACGTTCCGAGGGTAATATATCCTTGCAGTCCAGGCTCTGCAATTGCAGCAGCGTGCCTACCACAAAGTCACGATAATGCGGATAATCGACACACGGATTGCCAATAAGGACCAGCTCCCGCAAATTGTAATTGCCAATCAGCGACTCCACGCTGGTCAGCTCGCCGACAAAGTTGAGCGTCAGATCGAGCTTATTGAGTGACTCGAGACTCTCTAAGTTCTCAATGCGCTCAATATTGTTCACCGCCACATTGAGATACTCGAGACGCTTCAGCTTGTGCAGATTCTCCAGGCGTGCTATGAGATTGGACTGCAGCAGCAGTATCTTGAGATCGCGACACCAGTTCTGTATATGCTCGATGCGCTCAATATCCTCCTGGTGCAGCGACAGCTCCTCGAGCGTGCTTATTAGCCGCTCATTATGCTCCGACTTTTTGCGCACCAGCTCCTCGGTGACTGCGACAATATCATTATAGAAACAAGCATGCAACTATTTTGAACACAATTCTTGAACTTACTGCGCACCATAATTGGAGGATATAAATATTTATGTTATGTCTATGTCGAGAACTAGCTTCAGCTTCAACTCAAATAGCACTTAAAACAGTAAATAAATAAGGCGACTGCGTTGCTAGGTTCAGCTTGTTGTTGTTGTCGTTTTTGTTGTTGTTGTTGTTAATGACACCCGATTACAATTTAAATTTTATGTCATCGGCGGGCGAGCGATTGAACTTATCGCCATTAACATATCGATTTGCATGACGGCAACGTCATCGGCGCCCGCCGCTGTGTTTTTTTGGATTTATGGAAATCTAATCAGTTGAATTAGTTAAAATAGCGTATTAGGTGCTCAATTGCAGGGCCGGACTGCGGTATGGATGTAAAGGCCAGCACTGCCTCATATTTATTTGTTAAGCTTTCTATCACACAAGATAGTCAACAATTTCATATATTCTACATATAATATAAATAATTAAAAAGCCAATAACATGAATGGTAATTTTTGTAAAAAAGTTAACTTACAGCATTTTATAATGCGCACACATGTGGTTCTTAAATGTTTATTAACACTTTATAGACAATCACCCACTGAAATTGATCAAATGGTTCACTTTTTATTTATATAAAAAAGAGATAAAAAAGTACAATATAAATGGAAATTGATAATTCAATATACATATATAAGCATATATCGTTGTGCTTTTTCTCGTTAGCTATTGGCCTTCATCAAATCCGCTCCTGTGCACAATGGCTTCAGGTGTGCTCGGCTCATTGAACTCCGCTAACACTAGTCGCAGCCAGACAAACTTGGACACTGTAAGCGTAATCAGCTTTTGAGATCGAAATGGGCAATAAGGATGTCGATATTTTGCGTCCACTTAGCGATAACGAAGTGGATGAGCTGATGCAGTTGTACGGCGAAAAATATGGACCACTCAATTTCCACTATCTCTTGCTGTACAATCAGCGCAAATGGGATCGCCAGCTGGACGCGGCGGGCATTTCCCGGGAAGATGACGCTTACATATCGCTGCGCAAGCTTTTTTATACGCATCGAACTGGCGACTTTCGACAATACGGCACATATGTGAGCCTGCACCGGGACGTCGTGCAGAGCGTGTCCTTTTACAGCTGGCAGCCCGTAGAGCCAGCGGAGCTGTTCGCCTGCCTGGAGCAAACACAGCGCATCGAATGGTCAAACGGTGCGCTGCTGACCAACGTTGATCTGGAGCATTGCGCACGCGTCAAGGAGATTGCCAGCAGGAAAGGAGCGAGTGGCATACAGGCACGTCAGTGCTACGGCATGGTATTGCCACATGCCGAGGCGCGAACGGTGCACGTGCCCGATCTGCTGTCAGACTTTGAGTTGCGCCGGCTAAGCGATGAGGATGCGGCCATGGTGCATGCTATTTGGCCCAATAAGGGCGAAGGATCGCTGGCATACATACGTGCTTTAATCAAGTACAATAGGACAGTGGGTGCCTGTCGCAGCGACACCGGCGAGCTAATCGCCTGGATATTCCAAAACGATTTCTCTGGTCTTGGGTATGCAAAATGGAATACTTTTAATCGAACCCTATTTTAAAATTCTACTCTTGGCAGCATGTTGCAGGTGCTGCCAAAGGCAGAACGGCGTGGCCTCGGCGGTCTCTTAGCTGCTGTCATGACCAAACTGATTGCCAAAGGGGAAGAGGTTACGCTCACCGCATGGATTGTGGCTAGCAACTGGCGGTCGGAGGCTCTGCTCACCCGCATTGGCTATAAGAAGGCTATTGTGAACGAGTGGATTAAGCTGTTGCCCGCTTAATATGCGGTTGGATCTGGGTAAAATTGCTGATTGGGTATAGAGGTGAGCCACGAAATGGAACTAGAATATAAACGATTATACACTACACACGCTTTTATTTTTTATATACATACATATGTAATGTTATAAAATATAATAATGGGGAATGGCATCCGCAAGTATGGAGAAACGCGAAAATGGATGTAGTTTTGTTAGAACGCACTGGAAAGGTGTTTTACACTTGTTCGGAAAAGAATATTTTTTGTCTTCTAACTTCTTACTACGAGACTAAAATGGTCCTAGTTCAATAGACGTCAGTTTTAGATAGTACGGTTTGATTTAATTTTTCCACGGGAGTTGGTGAATTGTTGTCAAAATCTGAAGCAAAAAACTTTGGCCAGGCAAGAATAAACTAATATACTAACTCAAAGTTCAAAACGAAATTAAATATATCCGATTTCGTATACCCGTCTTCGTGTTAAATACAATATAGAATATATTAGCAATCGGAATAGTCTACACGTCCACCCAATACTATTTTATTGCGCCATGGAGGGGTGACTGAATCAGGTTCATAATAAAAGTCCAAATGCTTTACATAATACGTAGAACGTAGTATGTAAGTATATGTATATTGCCTATGTACACGGTCAACAATTTTTATTACGCATTGCAATGCGTTTTGATATTGTAAATACATACACTTTTTAAGGCATAATCAAATTCGAACTGCAAAAACATATTTAAATTTCTAGCGGCAATTGAGGCTAATCCCGTACCTGGATTCGGTCCCGAATTTCATACTTATTTACATACCGCATTACATGCATACATACATACGTTTATCATACAATAATTTACAATATAATTAGGATAGGAGCTGATGGGAGCATAAAACAAAAAAAAAAGAAGAACATTGGAAATATACAAAACATAATGACATACGAGCAGAGAGCACAAAGACAAATGTTACATTGTTTGAATTGTTGTTTTGAATGCGAAATACTATTCAATTAACTATGCCCGTAAATAGGGGACTCTGATAAGAAATTGTTATCAGAGACGATCGAGACGAAATGAAACCGGGTAAAACAATTTGTGTGTGGGCCTGATGTTGTAATACAATTTCACTAATTATAAAAACTAAACAAATAGCAAGCGCGTGGTGCTCCCACTCGGCATACCGCTGCCATTTGCCAACAAACTGTTGCTGCTTGTTGGCATTGTCATTGGCATTTGCATGGTCGCCGGTGCTTTCGTTGTCTGCATCTTGTGTAAACCATTTCCCATCACATTTCCATTGATTGGGCTGCGATAATAGTTATCATTTAGCGGCGTATACTTAATGTGATTGCTTGGCGTGTGCGTTGGCAGCTCCCTGGCCTTTGTGATTTGCTTGGCACGATTGTAGCACAACACACCGATAATGGCCAGGGTCATGCCCAGACAGTTGACCCATGTAACCGGATTGCCCAATATCAGCAGCGAGACGGCAATCACAAATATGCGCTTGGAGGCGCTGGCCACCGCATACGTGAGCGGCGTTACCAGCGATAGCACGCTAAAGGCAATTATGTTTTGCATCCAATTAAGAACGCCATCGGTGAAGAGCAGCGCAATTACCCGGTAGTCAAGATTTTTCTGCAAGGCGAATATAGGCTATTAAAATTGGTATACGATTCATCTAAAGAAATCACTTACAATTGCTGTATGCCGGAAAACAGCTAGGCTGTCTACGTAAAGCCAGAGGGGCAGGAAAATGAATAGAGATAGCTTGCCCAGCAGGTGGAGCAGACGCAAGTGATGTATTCCCGTATCCTTAAGCACCTGCAAAAAGTTTTGATAGAGTTAAGTGCGCCTGTGCGAACATGTTAAATATATACAGTTTTACCTTCTTGGAGAAGATGTTTTGCAGGGAGAAACCCATTGTGGAAATGAGTGCGCTTATTAGGCCAAGCATGTCGAATGAGATTTCCGTAAAGGTCGCAATCGCCACGCCGGTTATGATGGGCAACAGACTCAGGTACACCAGTGTGGGCTGCTTCTCGCCAAAGAAAAGGCGCGTCAGAACAACAGTGAAAAGCGGCATGGTCGCTTTAACTAAATATGTAAATATATACAAGATTTGATGACGTGTGTGAGTTATGTTTTATTTAAAAACGCACTTATTATTATTTACTCACCTGTGTGCGCGTAGGAGACAGGCACCTTCCACAGCGATATGTGCGATGTGACCGAGGCGAGCAACTTGCCAATGGCCAGCGGCACAATTAGTCGCATGTAATAGGAGCGCGGTATATCCTGATATTTGCGTATGCGCCATAGGTTGAAGAACGGCCCACTGTATAGCGTGATGCTGCATAACTGGATGAGGGTGACGGTCATCGGGAATGGAAACTCGTTGAGCACCATTTTGCCAATGACATTGTTGCTGGACGAGATTACGTACCAGAAGAGGCACATCAACAGCACGACTGCAACATGACGGGAACTAGTGCGTTTGCCACCCAACATATTTGAATATTTGCTGTTTAGTTAAGAAGATGCCGTAGTCAGGTGTCAGCGCCACAGTGTCTCTACCTGTGCGCCTGCCAGTCAGCTGGTCCTTTTTATTGATCTTTGTTTATTGCATCTCGCTGTATGATTAAATTTTAAATAAATATATGCACGTCGACAATGCCGTCCGTTTGTTTTCTACGTGGACGCAACAGTGTGGCCAGACATTGCCGGATATACGGCAAGTGTTGATAAATGCCAGCACATTGGGCTATCGATAAATATTCAAAATATAATTTCCCAAATTTCAGCATTGAACATAAACTGAAATAGCAATTTCAGGAACCTACCGGTTCAATTATCAGCAGAATTTGATTGCAACTCCTAGGCTCAACGCCGGTTCGGAATTTTTGTATTATACTTAAGCTCACTAAAAGTCGCTGGATGCATAATTATATTAATTTGTAAGAGCAAGGTCGATATACGTCCACATCTGGAGTAAATTTCGAAAGTTTAGATTTTTAAAATGTATTATAATTTTATGTATCGACAACTGATTTCCTGTTTTTGGTGTACATATGAGAATTTTCACTGCAAATATTTGTTGAAGTGTATGTATTAATCTCAGAAATGAAATGTTTTTTTATATATGTATATATCTATTAAGTCGATTATCAACTACAAATGCGATTTGGTTTGCGACCATTTAATGGTTTTCAGTGGCACTGCAGTGCTGGAATCCTTAAGTTAGTGGCCCACTTCCTTAACTTCAGCGCGCTTGATAGCCAAAGCGTGACGAAGCTCCCGGAATAGCTTATCGGCCCAGGATGAGGAACTAGGATTTGTTGCGCAGAGTTCCTTCAATGCCAGCAATACGTTTGTGTGCTGCTGCGTTAAGTCCGCCTGGTCGAAACGAGGATCCAGCCAATAGACGCCCCGTGGCGCAGCCGGCATTGCCTGAACACCAACATCCCGGCTACGGTTGCTGAGTCGCGCGTCCGTTTGAGTCGATACACTCTTATACAGTCCAGTAGATAGGGACTCGTCTTCCGTTCCGTTCTCTGCCTGCTGCGTAGATCTGAGCTTGTGCAGCGCCATCTTTGGATTCTCTTTTAGCTCCATCAAACGTGCCACATCAATGCCGGTGAGGCGCAACAACGCAGCTGTCGACTCTGGCAAGCGTTCCAAGCCCCATTTGGTCAAATTGATGTTAGATGCGGACGTCGAGTTGAACTTGTACGTAACATTAAAATTGTTACACAGCGGCGAAGGATTCATGAAGAGGTCACTATTCATATATGATGCACGGCTGGGCAGCTTTCTTATGGTGTCAACCACAAGGAACAAGGTCTCCGGTGCCTTTGACGCCTTTAGGCGCATAAGATTAAGCACACTTTTCGTGCGCTCCACGGCCAGCCGCCGCTTCTCCAGAATAGTCGGCGGCGGTCCGGTATCTGCTGCTGCTGGTTGCATTAGTTTGTTTATATTAACTACCTTGACGATCTTCTCGTCAGCATGTACAGGAACAAAGTCGAGTTCCTCGGGTTCCGTTTTTATGACGGGCATAGTACTGTGCCTTGATCCATTTGATCTCTCAGCCTCCATTGTGCGTCGTTCCTTGCGACTTTTTGGTGGACTGCCACTATGGCTGCGACTTCGACTGCGACGTCGCTTTTTATGGTTATCGTGCTTTTTCTCCTTTTTGTGTTTTTTTCTTTTTTTCTCGGCAGTTGAACGTTCCAAAATTTCCAGTTCCTTGCGCCGCTCCTCGATACGTAGTTGTATTTCTCTCTCTTCTTCGCTGACTGGAACACTTGGCTGTTGTGGCATTGGTGGCTCCAGATCCATATCGTTTAATTGATTCACTTGGCTATATGCACTTGTTACGCCTTCGAAGTCCGTCTCTGACAGGACATCCAGGAAGCCCAATTGCAATTCACGGCGTTCCTCCTTCTTAACAGTCACATCATTTGGAAGGCGCGGCTCAAGTGAACCTGATAACAGATCATCAAAATAGTTGTCCGGCACATCCGGAAAGCTACCATTTGCTTGAGATTCACTTTGAGGCTCTGTGGACTGAGGTCGGTCTATGGCTGACACTCTTAATGGTGTTTGGTCATATTCATTAGTCGGACTTAGCTTTATGCTCATTTCCTGATCAAGTGACGGCGGTGAAGGCGCAGGCGGCATCTCCGTCTGATCCTCATCATCGCTTCCCCAACCCGCTGCCGAAGTACCGGTGACTGCGGCTTTGTCCGGCGAGAGGACGCCTTCGTCACGCAGCGGAGTGCACTCGTTCTCATCGTCTTTGGGAGGCGATTTCTCGCATTTCACATCCGTGTAAGCGGCATCTATTTCGTTTTTAACACGAATTGCATCTTCCATATTATTGGTAACCCAGATAAAAGATGCAATATTCAGTGTGATTGTATCAAGTCAACAAAAATATACCAAGAAATTTGATTTTGTTTGTCAGCTCTACAGATGGCTGACGAAATCAAAATCCATATGAAATTTTAAATTATTTTTTAAACAGTTATAGAATATAGATAGACATGCATCTTGGTTTACAAAGCATTGCACTTTATACTCAGTTATTTTTCATTAAACAAACTATTCGGTATTTTTTGCCCATTTTGGTATTTGTATTAAAGCACATCACAACGATAAGAAAATAATCGAGATGCCATTGTGCTGCCAATGAAAAATCGATAAATGACAGCTATTGAATTTTTTATTGCAACGCGATCGTAGGCCGTCAACAGCCGTCTGCTGAAGTATAAATTTATAAATAGAAATAAACTAAAATGAATCGGGCTCGCAGGAACGTTGTCAACAAACCGTTTGTTTCGGGAGGCGTTTATGTAAGTTGTTTAATACATACACACTAACAGCCATACATACATATGTATGTATGGAAATGTATTTCATGATTGCATTACTCATTAAACTTCTATTCAATACTTTCATTCCGCAAATATGTATGTTTTTCTGTAATTTTGCAAATATAAAGCAAAAAGTATGAAAATACATCAATGAAATAGTTATGAGCGGTGTATAGATACATACATATGTATGCATACATATAAATATGAATGTATGTGTATCATTCATCAAACTAAGAGGATGTTCTCATTTTGCACTCTTGCATATGTATACTTCTAGTATACAAACACACACATGCATATGAAGCTGTAGTTTTAATCGATACTGGTATGCATACATACATATGCACAGTTACAAAATTACTCACCCGCATAGACAAATGTGTGTGTATATATACATACATACACATATGTGCAATGTATCTAAGCATATACATTCATTAGTTTTAGTTGTTTGTTTATTTTTTTGTTGTTATCATTAAAAATACAATTTTTGCAATAATAGTAATTCTTTTTTTATTTATATAATTTACAGCGCACAAATTGAAAATGTGTGTCTCAAACCAATTGTGAATTTATTTGCAATAGCCAATAAAAGTTTCTTTAATCGCAAGTGTCAAGCGTTCTGTCCAGCCACCTACTTCTCCAACTATTTTTACCCACACATACACACACAAACACAAACATGCACACACAAACACAAACATGCACACACATACACACTCCGAGCCTTGGACTAATTATTTGAACCGCTGTACTTGCCATTTTACTTACTTTAGGGGCTGCTGGAAATTAATTCATCCAAAATTGTAACTAAAATTATTAGTTTTGCGTTAGATAGCAATGCTCATTTACCTTCACTTGAGTACCCAAACGAGACACCAAAGCGCCAATTCGAGATGATCAAAGGTTTGGGCGGGCATTTACCGCAATTTCAGCCTGGCGAGCAGCCTGGTGAACACCACCTCCTGCACAGCATTGCGGGTGGTGGTGGTCATTTAGGTGGGGTGCCAAGGTGCCAAGCATTTGGTTAATGTGATATGATTAACGTAAACCATCGATTGGTTGGTTCATGGTTTCGTTGGTGCAGTGCGTCTGCATGATTCGTTTGGGCACTTTGGGTTGTAGGAGTGGTCATGGCTATTCCTGAACTATGGTTTTTAGTAGATCCGCCGGCACACGTGCTGCGATATAAAGCCTACCGCCCACGCCGTTAGTAGATCCTTTGAATGGCATGTAAGACATTTCGAAGATTGGTATATGCAAAGGGGCAAAACAATTGTTGTTGTTGCCTTTGCCTTTATAGCTTAAGCCAGAAGCGTGGGACTCTAATAACCGTAATCCTTTTATTTCTTAATTTTTATTTTTTTTTACAATTTATAAATGGTTTTTTAATATTTCGAAATATATTAAATAAAATTTAAATTTAAAAAAAAAAATAATTTGGAATTGATTAAGCAAATTACTCAATTTATGAAAATCTTTTTCGCTCCTATGACTGTTGAGTGTATATGGTCTAAAATAATTTAACTTTTGCTAATTAATCTCAACCAAAATTCGTATCAAAATATATAATTGAAAAAAAAAACACTTAATTAAACAAATGGAATATATGTTTTATTTAATTTCTTTTAGTTTCTTTGTTAATTTTTGAGACATGCTGAATTTAAGAAAGTTTCCAATTAGCACACAAAATAAATTTAAACTCTTGAAGAAAAATGTTGATATTTGAAAATAAAAAAATTTGAAGTAAAAGTTGAGGTATATTTCGTTAGTCCATCGGTTAAGAATAATTTTCAATACACGCCCCACACTAGAGTCCGGATTTTGCAAATAATTTTTTTTCTTTTGTTAAAAAACAAAAAAAATATATTTGCTGTGCATGCTATATACGTGCGTTAATAATACCTGGCTTTCTTGTCTAGAATCCTAATGCCACATCCACGATTCCGCAAGCACCGCCGGTGGTTGCAACACCACCGACACCGCAGCCGGCAAAGCCTCAGCCGGCCAAGCTTCAGACGGCCAAGCCTCAGCCGGTGGAAAATCATGAAGCGTTGCCCTTGCCGATTGTCATCAAGGATGAACCCATAACGCCCGCTGGCGATGACATTGAGGAATCCGACACTGGCGTCAATAATGACAGCATGGACTTTGCCAGCGTCTTGGATTCGGAAAATGGTGGAAAAATACCATTTAAGAAGATCTTTCAGAAGCGCAAGAAGTCATCGGGTACGTAAATTCTTAAAAGACGGAACGAGTAAACGGAATTTAATAAAAATAGGTAAGAATGTTGCGTAATTCGCGTAACCAGCTTGAAACATATCGATTTACCACGACCTCAATATTTGAATCGGTCTATAGATAGACTAATGGATCGATCATCAGAACCCTTCGTTTGCGTCTTGCCAAACTTTATCTAGTAAACTTCAAATATTTAAATTAGAGCTCTCTCCAAAATTTGGATATACCAAGTATCGTTAGAAAAATGCAGAGGCTTGGGCCCAGTGACTTATGCTTTGTAGCTGGGTCTTTGACATTGTTTTTATTTCGAAGAAAAGCGAAATGGTTAGATTTGGGTTTCAGTTCGACTGTTTCTAAAGCAACTGGATTGTGCAACGATTCGGTTCATAGTAAAAAATAGAAATCGGCACAGCCTTGAAATCTATATCTCATACTACATTGACTTCACAATTGGACCAGCACAAAGGGTAATATTGACAAAAAATATTATAAAAAATCTATTGAAAGATTATAAGAATAAAAATACCTAAGACTGGCGAAACTCCCGACCACACGCTCCAGTATAAATCCCCACACATTATTTAATAATAAACGTAACTCATTTTCTGTTTGTTTAGAACGCACACGTGACAAGAAATTACGCCAGAATCGGCAGCTACGCAAATCGATGTTGCCCAAGAACGCTCTAATGGCCCTCAACGAGGTGAAGGGCATTAACATCAGTGATTTTACAATTAATAGCAATCCGGATGGCGGCTTCACTGCTATTGTGACCGTGAATACCAGACAGTACGAGGGTAAGGGACAGTCGAAAATGGCCGCGAAGAATTTGGCTTGTGAAAAGGCTTTGCGCGATTACATCATAGCCAAAATGACGCCAAAGCCCAAGAAAGTGCCAAAGCCGGCTAACGATGACGAGCCTGAGGCGATGGAGACCAACGAGACCGAGAATACTGAAAATCCGCCAGAGGATGATGTACCCATGCTGAACTTGGCCTCGTTTGCCATTTACAAGCTGTTTGCCGAATGGGAGCGGGAGGGTTATGTTGTGCCCGAAATGCATCCATCAACTGCAAATGCATCTGCACAGCAAAGCGATCCGAATTCGCCAGCTTCGTCTGTTGTTGTCACACCCAAGGAGCCAAAGAAGCCGCCCGTTCGCACCGAGCTCCCGGTCAACTGGGCTACAATGCATCCAGCCACATTGTTGTGCGTTGTAAGTGTGCTAGTTCAATTGAAATGGCCAATTGATATTTTAATATTTTAACTTTTTGACAGATGCGTCCAGGACTTTCTTATATAGACCATGGGTGCACCGGAGAGAAGCCGAATGTTTTGCAGCGTTTGGGTGTCATTGTGGACAATCAGGAGTTCACCGCCACTGGACGTTCTAAAAAGATAGCACGTCGTAATGTGGCTGTCAATGTTTGCAACAGTTTGTTTAACACAAATTTCATATATGAGGAGTATTAGACGAGCAAAAATCTCAGCTGAATCTGAAAAATGCAACAATTTATCTTGACTTTTTAATTGTTTAAATGTGCTTCTACAACTTGACACTATCATAAACCTACCACACTCCAAGACTACAGTAAATTCATGACCATAAATATGTACGTAGTTTTATCATTATTGTACACTTGTAGAGGTTATTAAAATTTTGTCAAGCGATATGTGTATGGCTTAGGATATATCTGCAAAGTATATATATTTTTGACCGAGTCGATATAGCCATGTCTGTCCATTCTGTTTCGAGGCAAACTAGTCTCTGCATAATTCCGTCTTTCTGTTGTACGGAGCATATATGTCTGACATTAGATCAGGTTAAAAATAAAAAATAAAAATTTGTTGTTTTTCAAGATATCTTGGCCAAGTTTGGGATTACTTAGCCTCAATATGTTCCTAACATTTAAGCAAAATTTTAATCAACAAGACACTATTTTATATCGCTGTTCTATAGGAACTATCGGTCGTTTATAAAGCTTTAGAACAAAGGCCCTTCCATGTCAGATGTCTACAAGGATATTTAAACTTAAGCGTGCCAAGGCCGTTCTTTTGAATAAATGTTTTCTTTAATTTATTTGATACAAATAAAATTTAAAAATCCTCATCGAGCCTATGCGTTTGATTTCGTCAACAGACGTGCGGTTGGCGTCTCCAGTGTTGGGAATTCATATATTCAGAAGCTGATAAGTAACTTTTATTGAAATCGAACACAGCTGTTTGTTTGTACACATGCTAATGTAGAAACAATTAAATATTTCACGACTGGGCAAAACAATCTTAACAATGTATTAATTAAGGAATTTATAATTGACAATTGAATTTCAGCGCCAATAGAGATTAGAGTAGAGCCATATTTGGGTGCGCGTAATCATTGTCGAACAAATCTTAGTAGAAGGTTTGGTAAATCGATAGTTGAACAATATGGTAATAAGTATCGTATAATCAACTCAACGTAGATACTTCATACATATATTATTAAACTGTCTGGCAACATTAAACACAACAGCTGATGTATTGTTAGGACATAAGTGAAAACATATATATTGATTGCTGCGCAATGTCGAAATTAATTTCATACGCTGCTAGAAACACTTTGCGTAATACGCGCCTTGGTGCAAATCCAATGTATGTACGATTTTGATTTGTCGAATTATTGAAATTATCTTGCAATTTGAATGTTAGCTGTCAGCATGCAACCAGAGATTACATGCACATGGCTGATGCGTCGGCGGCACGTAACACATCTTCAACTCTGGCTGTCGGCTTAACCAAACAGCCGGTGCTCCGGCAGGCAGTGAACACTGTTCCGGTTATGGGACAGATTTCACGGCGCAGCATGTTTATTCAGACACAGGACACACCGAATCCGGAAAGCCTAAAGTTTTTGCCTGGCGTTGATGTGCTGGGCAAGGGAAATACATATGACTTTCCTAGTGGTTCGGCGGCTCATTGTAGTCCATTGGGTGAGACGTGCTCTATGTGATCACTTTATACAATTATATAACTCGCTCAATTGCAGCTAAGCTACTGTTTCGTGTGGAAGGCGTACGTGCTGTATTCTTTGGTGGAGATTTCATAACTATATCCAAGGAAGAAAGTGGAGAATGGGGTCTTATAAAACCAGAAGTTTTTGCTGTCATTATGGATTTCTTTGCCAGCGGCCTGCCCATTATACACGAGGCGCGTCCCAATGCAGATACAGAAATTTTGGAGGATGATGATGAGACAGTTATGATGATAAAAGAGCTCCTGGATACGCGCATACGACCGACCGTGCAGGAGGATGGCGGCGATATTGTTTTTATGGGCTACGAGAATGGCATTGTCAAATTGAAAATGCAGGGCTCGTGCTCATCATGCCCCAGCTCCATCGTCACATTGAAGAATGGTGTACAGAATATGCTACAGTTCTATATACCAGAAGTGGAATCCGTTGTACAGGTGTTTGATGACGCTGACAAAATGGCAAATAAGGAATTTGAGCGCTTTGAGAAGAGTTTAAAGCAAAAAGAGTCAGTTAATCAACCAAATGCGCCTGTCACCATTGGTGGTACACCAAATTAAGCGTGTTATAATTGTTTCTATCTTTAGTAGGTTTAGAACTATATACATAAACATATGTAATTATGTGCATGTATAATTGTTTAAATAGTGTACAGCTTTAAAACGAATATTTTGCCCGTTATAAATGTGTTTCAATGCTCAGTGGGGACGCATTTATTTTACCTCAACGAACGTATGAGTATAATTGCCCTTTTAATTAACTCATTAAACTAAAATATAAATTTTATATATATATATATATGTATTATTATCTACAATTTTTGAATCATATATTTTTATTAAAAATGTAATTCCATATAGCTGTAGTAACTTTAACGACCACAGCAGTGCTGGACAATGCCGATATGAAAATATCGTTGGGGGTACAATTCGTACACATCATTGATAAGTATCGTAATCGATATATATACAACTAGCTGTCGCACACTCATACACAAAACGAACAAGCGCATTAAACAAATCAAACTGTTTCCCAATTGATATTCATAGCAATAATAAAACGTGTGCAACTTAACTGAAACCCACCTTGCTATATCAATTGAAAGCAAACGAGAAACTATCTATACGGGCATTTACTGCAATCAAAGTGTAAACAATTTGAAGCGCTAGTTTCGCAAGCCGCATAGGAAATTGTAAAATATGGTCAGGCTTTTTACACTGAGTGTCTTTTTCAAGGGTGCCAGCGAAGCGCGCTTATTAAAGACCACATCCGACTTGCAGTCCTTTTCATTTTTTCAACGTGGCACAGTCAATGAATTTATGACGTGAGTAGTCAACGCTTTGGGTGTTACGGCGACGGCGCAATTCGCCCACCGCCGTCTCCCCATTACTTGCCCCATTTAACACATATGTTTGTACATTTTGACTTGCATCGCTTCGTACTTTCACAGCTTTGCCTCAAAGACAATTGTGGAACGAACCCAGTCGGCGCTGCGACAGTCTGTTAAACAGGATGCCTACATGTGCCATGTCTATGTGCGGGCCGATAATTTGGCTGGCGTTCTTATCGCTGATCACGAGTACCCGCACCGTGTCGCGCACACGTTAATCACAAAAATACTGGATGACTTTGCGGCCAAAGTGTCGGCCGATCAATGGCAAAACGGTACGGAGGCAACAATTGCATTTGATTCATTGCCAGCGTTTTTGGCCAAATACCAGGATCCCAAGGAGGCCGATCCGATAACGAAAATGCAAACCGATTTGGATGAAACTAAAATCATATTGAAGAACACTATCGAATCGGTGCTGGAGCGTGGCGAAAAACTGGAGGATATGGTTACCAAATCGGAGCAGCTATCCATGCAAAGCAAGGCCTTCTACAAGACAGCGAAAAAGACCAATTCCTGTTGCAGCTTCACCTAAACAAGCTAAGGGCGCAGATATCGAAAAAGGAAAACACCACTTAAAACAGAAAAAAACACCAACAAAATGGGCACGTAATAAACAGCGACGGCGCGGCATTGGCTTAGAATTTGTATGCTTTTTATAACATAAGTTAATTTTATATTTAATATATATATGAAACTAAACTATACTATACATGCATAAGTATTTATACGTATGTATATGCAATGGCACGAATGTGCTGCAACTCATATATGTACGCCCATTATGTGTGTAAAACGTTCAACTTGGCATCTTGTTCTCTGCATGTCTAGGGTAATGGTACAGATAATGTTATATATATATATGCAATTATACCAATACAATTATGATATACATACATTATATATATGCGTATTTTGTGTAAGCGCGTGTCTGTGTGCAATTTAAGAATAATGTGTCTATCTCCTTCGGTTATGTGCTCGCGTCTTTTTTAAATAGCTTTTGTCTTGTCTGCCCGCCGCCTAAGTCGATGTCGATTAATTATTATACGTACATCTTTGTGTATCTATGTACATATTTAGGGTTCTCAATAAGTTTTAGACGCGATGTGTAAGCGACTTTCAACTGCCGAATACTCAACAAATAGCCCTAACGCAAGTTCTGTCTGGGCTACAAATAAAAATTATTATCTCAAAACTGATTGAAATGTTTCAGACACTTTTACGCTTTGCTCACAAAGAAAATAGACTCTCATTTGTAATCACACTGTTAACTGAGTATTGGGCAGTCGGTTTCGTTTTTACTTGCTTATTATTTAATTGTACACGTATATATAATCCCACCAAGCGATTTTAACAATATTCCAATTAAATTTATTCGAAATACTTTTAAAAATACACATTCGTTGCAAATACTCACTTAAAAGAGATTTTAATTACATTTTATCCTATTAAAACGCTAAAAAGTTTCCAAATATTTATGTATATATATTAATATATATATATATATATATGCATATTTTATATTTTAAAGAACGTATATTTGAAATATATTAGTTATGTTTTAAAATGTATTTTAAATACATTTTTGTATGGGGCAAATGCCTTTCCGTAGAACAGAATTTTGAACAGTTTTAAATTCCTAGCAAGAAAAAATTTAATTCCGCACTAAAAGGAATCCTAAGTTTGATACATGGAAAATAAATTTTAATTTCAATTACATTTTGGTAGATTTTAAAGATATTTTCAAATAAATGCTTGTAACAAGTATGCAAAGGCACAAAAGGAATATAGTCTTTATTGTATTCATATAAACACGCTTGTCGTTGCAGAATAAGGAGTTGTGAGCGAAATCGATTCGACAATTAGGAGTAGCAACTGCCCCTCCCCTGAGTATTGTTTAGTGTCGTTTCTTGACATGCATAGCCAAAAGCTTTGTTTTAATCCGTTTGCGATCCCGCGCGATAATCTCCATGCGCTCCTTGATGCTCGTCTGAAAGAAGATCAGGTGCAGAGTGCGGCTGGCTGAGCACAGCTGAAGATGAAACAAATTGACCAGTTATGAAAAAGGAGTTTATTAAAATTTAAGTAAAACTCCCACCTGCTGCAACAGGCGCGCCTTAAGGCGTATATTTGCCGGCTCCTCCTGGTCGAGACTGTTGCCGTACGTCTCCAGATGCAGATTGAGCACGAAGATGAGTGTATCGCGTATAGTCTGAACAATGCGCTGCACTTGCTCGGTTCGGAATAGACGGCGCACCAAATAGCCGCGTGCAGCGGCATTGAGAACAGTGGCGGCTATGTGACGTCGCTGCGTCTTCAGCTCGTCCGTTGACAGCTAGTGATGATCAGAGGGTATGTGAGTGAAGGCGTGACAAATTGTGACTTGTATTAGTAGGTTAAGGTTAGTTTGCTCTTGCTCTTTTTATTAAGCAATCGAATGGGAAACTTTTCAAATTCTTAGGCAATATAATTATGTATATACATATATATATATATATTGGTTCCCAAAGATTGCCCAACGTTGGGCTAAAGGCACATGCTTGGCTTCGATTTGTTTATCAATTACTTCTTGGCCACAAAGCGCTGCTGACGGAGCAAAACAAATCGCATTTAGAGCAAGATAAAGATGGAGAGAGGAAGAAATTTCTATTAGCATACGTTGCCCAAGTCTGGGCGAAGACGCTACTTACAGTCTGACGGCTGGGCGAGCCACTCCGACGCGTCTTTGATATTGTTTGTTGTTGTGGCTGATTGCGTGAATTGCCTTTGGTTCCCGACGATGTCGTCTGGTTGTTGACTTTTCGCGCTGGCGGTGACTTGCCCTGCACCACTGGACTGCTCACCCTCTTGGACCCGGGCGGCTTCGAATGGCTGCGCTGCACTGGCTTTTTAATTCTAGTGCTATTATTGCTTCTGCTACGCAGCGACATTGATCTCGGTGAGCTGGAAGCACTCTGCAGCAGCGGCGGCAGCAGCTCCATCGGCTCCTCGTCATCGTTGTCCACGTCAAAGAGGCGCTTGCGTGCCGTATTTGACACAGAATCCTTGTCCAGCAACTCATCAAATTGCGCATAGCTATGCGGCGTTGTTTCAATTGAATTGAGTGTAACCGTATTTGTGGGTGAGGAGTGTGACGGTGTGGGTAAATCATCTGTGCTTGTGTACTCGGAGATGCCGCTCGGGCTGCGCGCGTCTGTGATCGGCTGATGGGCATATGCGGACACATTTATCTCCGCGCATATCTGTTCGATGAGAAACTTTTGCTGACGATCGAATTCCTCCTGCATGCGACGCTGTTCCTCGTGCTGGTACTGAACCAATTGCTGAAAACGATCACGATGCGCGCTTTTTATATCCTTAAACATCTTTCGCTTGGCCACCGCCAGCTGCTTGCGTTCCAGCTGCTCTTGTTCCACCCGCACGTCATGTGTCTCGTGCAACGCACGTTGCAACAGCTGCTCGAGTTGTTGCTGCTGCTGCTGACGCGCTGTGTTGCCGCCACTTCGCCGTCCTGCCGCTGGCGATTTGTATGCATCGACGCAGCTGGCGCTGGCACTGCGCTGCACTTGTTTCGCCTTGGACTCGACGGTGTCGCGACGCAAATGCGCCAAACTCTGCACTGATGAGTTGCACGCGACATTGGCTGGCAGTACAAATCGGCAGCGAGGTGAAGTTGGCGCTGGAGGAACGGTGGCTGTTGTTGCTGACGGCGGCGGTGGCAGTGGCGGCGGTATGGGCGGTTTTTTGCCTTCGCGTTGCATATGTTCAACGAGCGCCTGTGACGGCTGCTCCAGCGTAAAGGAGCGCGAGCGATGCAATTGCGTCATATTCACTTGGGCAGCGCTCAGCGACGGACTGGTGCTTGAGCGCAGCATTTGCTTATCCGCAGCAACTAGAGCCTCATTCTGCCACAATAATTTGGCTGGCTGTGGCTGCAGCGGCGTCTTCCGGCCCAATCCAGTGCGTTCAAACTGAAGTATGCGGCTGGTTATGTTATTCAGTTTGCGATGCTGTGTGCTCAGGGTGCGACTGCAGCCTCTAGCTGTTGGAGATGTGCATGTGGCTATTGGCTGTTTGACTGCCTGCTGTTCGCACTGTGGCGTTGGCGGATTAACACAAATGGTAGGTATCAAATAAGTTGCTGACGCACTCTTTCGCTCGATGTCAAGCGTTTGGGGTCGACTGCGCGGAGAATTAACTAGATCTAGCAGCATATGCTTCTGTTTGCGTGTGCTGTCATAGATGAAAGTCTCCGTTTGCTGCAGATGTGGCAATCTCTGTGTGTTATCCATGGCGCTGTCGTTGTTTAAGTCGCAGCAGCTGCTGCTGCTGCTGCTGTTGTTGTTACTGCTATGCCCACTGCTTGTGCTGTCGGACGCAGCAGCTTCTTGTTCGCCAATGGTCGATGTTGATCTGACGACATGCGCCTGCCTGTACTTGGCCTCCAGTTCCACAGCTTGCTGTCGCAGCTGCTGCATCTGGTGTCGCTTTTCCGCTGTCATCTGTTTGGGTTTATGCTTGAGTGATGGCACGCCCGCAATTTTACATAGGTACTCACCAGTGGCGGCAATATGGGCTGGCCATCGATGCGGAACTGGGACACGTATTCAGACGGTACTGGGAGTTGATTGGGATTGGCACTGGGTGTGTCGGTATCTGTGTTCTTTAATGACGTCGATATTGTGGCCTCGTTTTGTTCTGTGGCGGCACGCAGCATATCCATCGCCAAGCTGTACAATTGGAAGCCACATTTGCAACAACAAAATGAAAGAACAATTCGATCTATTTGACCCACCTTGCATTATCCATATCCATAGGCAAGTTTTGTTATGTCTGTGCACTTAAAATTTTGAATGTTCTGTTGAAAAATGCCAATCGATTTAGCTAGCGTGCCTTTTTTGCGCGAGAAACGCAACCCAAAAGCAATATTAAAAGCAAACAATTGTTCATTTGTTGTGCGTCCGTTGCTATGACAACTTTCAAGGGCAACTGCGCGCTTTGAACGGCGTCTGCTGCCACATCCAGGCTAACAACAGCAAACCAATAAATAAAAAGATAAAACTAAAAGAAACAGGCAACAACAAAATCTAAAAATTGTTTGGCGTTTGCTTTTGTGTCCCACTTTGTGCATGAGCTTGCCAGCTTGTTTGTGTTTTTAAATTCAATTTTCATTGCGATAAGTTGGCAGCTCTGGCAGCTGCGCGCTCAGTTGGTAAAGTGTATTATTAACATGCGCTGTCATGACGTGCGTCAAGTTAGCGGCGGTGACTACGTGCGTCAAATTAGCGGCGGTGACTTAGCGTCGATTTTTGGTACTTGGTATCGGAAAAGGAATCGGTCACTTTTAAATGCATTTATTTATGTTTTTAAGCACAAAACCAAATAAATTTAAATGCAGAATAGCAAAAAATTAAATTATTTACTATCTACATTCATTTGTTTTGGAATTTCAATTTATAATATGGGTATACCAAGAGATTGAAAAATTAGGTTTCCACCATTCTCTAAATATCTTAATTCAGGGATAATGGCCCCGAAAACCGCATATGCACGATTAAAGCCTATAGTTTCACCTAACCAACCTTGAAAAAATGATAAAAATAGCCCCATACAAAATGACCGCTTGCCCGTGGCACGCATAAAATAAATTTTCCCAAAGATCTTTGAAATTCAATCGTGGTACCAGTGCCAAATGAGTCGGGCATCGATAAGCTTAGAGTCGAGTATTCTTCGACAGGCCATCTACCAACGTAAACTAAATTCAAAAATATGCAGCTGAATAGGGAGGTTTCTTATCGCAAGTAAAAAAGTGAGTTAATAAATTTATTTTGCTTAAAGCATCTAGATATGGGTACTGTTTTTTAGCTTTTGTTAAACTTCAATTAACTAGAAAATAATATTGGACGTCGACATACATACACACGTCAGGCTGAGATACTTTAAATGGCTTCCATCAGTGACTGTGCATATATAGTCGTTATTTGAATGCGAATTCAATCAAGTGTTCAATTTGAAATCAGGGCGATTCATGTCAAGCATGAGAAAACTTAATTACACAAGTTTTATTTTGTTATAGATGCACTCAGAATTTTATAAATCAGCGGTGAGTGGCTTGCAGATGTACTAATTAATCGAGCCATTCGTTTTTGAAAGGAAAAAATCTATATCAAGATGCCGGCTACATTTGGCTTGCTATTTAAACACAATGTTCATATCGAACTGGCTCTATGGAAGCGCACTGTATTCGAATGCATTACCATAATCATAATGCTGATTGTAGTACTACAAAATCCCACTTCACATTCAAAAAGATTGCTCTATAGTCGCAGCGATTACGAGGGAGACAAGACCATCGTATCCCATAAGCTGGATGATCTTAATATACTCACGTAAGCTAAATGCTAATGTTGCATGTCCATTTAATTGAACTTCAAATGTGTCAACTGGCAGGAGTCTGGTCGACTCAAAGCGGGAACAAACCAAATACATGCTAGCCCACTCACCAAATACGAAATTTGTGTCAGATGTGGTCAGCGAAGTGGCCACAAAACTGGAATTGAATGGATCCCTCGGTTTTGATAACGCAGGGGCTTTGCAAAATCAATTCGACGAGCGCACCATACTTGCCGGTGTTATTTTTAAGGGCATTGATGAAAACGATGAAATGGTGCCAAAGGTACTTTCCATTTCCATACGTTTCCCCAGCGAATTTCGTACGCTCAGCCCGTTTCTTACTGAAGACCGTCTATGGCTGACACGGTGCTCTGGCGTTGTAAATCCAAAGCGGGATAATGCCAAGGATTCCGACATTAATCAGGATATTTACATACGTGAAGGATTCCTTCAGTTACAACATCTAATATTTTTAGAATGGTTCCACAAGCTACGAACTCAAAATCCCTCAACTGCTACGGAGCCTCGAACAGAAGTTTTTAATGTACGACTCCGTGCGGCAGACGAACGCTGTTCTACAATGGATCTATACACTGTTCCGTCTTTTCTATTTAATTTTCTCTTTCTGTTGCCATTCATAAATATCATACGGGTGAGTTTATAACGTTTACCATAGAGAGTGTTAAATATTAAACTATTAGACTGATTGGTAATCAACTGTTATACTGTTATTTTGGTAATCTCTATATATAAAACTGTTTGTCCTGACTGACTGACTGACTGACTGACTGACTGACAAATTTATTTTCAAAGGTCTTTGCTCAAATTCATTTGAGGGGTGTTTCGCACTTTTTGGAAAATGCATCCCTTCTTGGTGGAAATGGGGGTCAAAAATTTGGTGGGTGACGTTTCGCCCTCAAATTTTTTTCCAAGTATCTATATGAAAATTCATTTGAGACGTGTTTTTCACTTTTCGCAGAATTCAAACATCTTCGGGGGGAATGCGATTCAAAGATTTTTTGGGCGAAGTTTTAAGTTGTGTCCGATTTGCTTCAAACTTATTTTCAAAGCTCTACATAAGAACTTAATAAATACGTATTTCAGCGATTTGGGAAATTCCACCCGCAAGAGTGGTAAATTGGCGGAAAACGGTTGTATGAAAGTTTTTTGTTAACGATCCGATCGGCCTCAAACTTATTTTCAAAGATCTTTGTTCAAATTCATTTGAGGGGTGTTTCACACTTTTCGAAAAATCCGTTCCTCCTTGGTGGAAATGGAGGTCAAAGATTTGGTGGGTGACGTTTCGCGCTCAAATTCGTTTCCAAAGATCTATAAGTAAAATCATTTGAGACGTGTTTCACACTTTTTAAAAAATCCATCCCTCCTTGGTGCAAATGGGGGTCGAAGATTTGGTGAATGACGTATTGTGTTCAAATTTATTTCCAAAGATCTATAAGAAAAATCATTTGAGACGTGTTTCACATTTTCGCAAAATCTAAACTACTTCGGTGGAAAATGCATTTCAAAGTTTTTTTTGGTGAATTTTAAGTTTGTGGGAATCCCGTCCGATCAGTTTCAAAATCATTTTCAAAGCTTTTTGAAAACATTGATTTTATAACATACAAGTACTCCATATATCATAAAGAGATTTTATTAAATTGGGGAAATTTTCAACTTGTTTTCCATCCGTCTGCCCGTGTGCGTCTTTTTCGCCACTAAGAAAATGAAAATATTACAAATATTTTCGATTAAAATATGTCACTGAATGATTTTTATTGAAGAATACTTCAACTCATCCATAAATGTTGTCATTTCCAGAGTTAAAAAAAAAATATATCTATATCTATATCTATATCTATATCTATATTTATATCTATATCTATATCTATATATATATATCTATATCTATATCTATATGTATATCTATATCTATATCTATATATATATCTATATCTATATCTATATCTATATCTATATCTATATCTATATCTATATCTATATATATATCTATATCTATATCTATATCTATATCTATATCTATATCTATATCTATATCTATATCTATATCTATATCTATATATATATCTATATCTATATCTATATCTATATCTATATCTATATCTATATCTATATCTATATCTATATCTATATCTATATCTATATCTATATCTATATCTATATCTATATCTATATCTATATATATATCTATATCTATATCTATATCTATATCTATATCTATATCTATATCTATATCTATATCTATATCTATATCTATATCTATATCTATATCTATATCTATATCTATATCTATATCTATATCTATATCTATATCTATATCTATATCTATATCTATATCTATATCTATATCTATATCTATATCTATATCTATATCTATATCTATATCTATATCTATATCTATATCTATATCTATATCTATATCTATATCTATATCTATATCTATATCTATATCTATATCTATATCTATATCTATATCTATATCTATATCTATATCTATATCTATATCTATATCTATATCTATATCTATATCTATATCTATATCTATATCTATATCTATATCTATATCTATATCTATATCTATATCTATATCTATATCTATATCTATATCTATATCTATATCTATATCTATATCTATATCTATATCTATATCTATATCTATATCTATATCTATATCTATATCTATATCTATATCTATATCTATATCTATATCTATATCTATATCTATATCTATATCTATATCTATATCTATATCTATATCTATATCTATATCTATATCTATATCTATATCTATATCTATATCTATATCTATATCTATATCTATATCTATATCTATATCTATATCTATATCTATATCTATATCTATATCTATATCTATATCTATATCTATATCTATATCTATATCTATATCTATATCTATATCTATATCTATATCTATATCTATATCTATATCTATATCTATATCTATATCTATATCTATATCTATATCTATATCTATATCTATATCTATATCTATATCTATATCTATATCTATATCTATATCTATATCTATATCTATATCTATATCTATATCTATATCTATATCTATATCTATATCTATATCTATATCTATATCTATATCTATATCTATATCTATATCTATATCTATATCTATATCTATATCTATATCTATATCTATATCTATATCTATATCTATATCTATATCTATATCTATATCTATATCTATATCTATATCTATATCTATATCTATATCTATATCTATATCTATATCTATATCTATATCTATATCTATATCTATATCTATATCTATATCTATATCTATATCTATATCTATATCTATATCTATATCTATATCTATATCTATATCTATATCTATATCTATATCTATATCTATATCTATATCTATATCTATATCTATATCTATATCTATATCTATATCTATATCTATATCTATATCTATATCTATATCTATATCTATATCTATATCTATATCTATATCTATATCTATATCTATATCTATATCTATATCTATATCTATATCTATATCTATATCTATATCTATATCTATATCTATATCTATATCTATATCTATATCTATATCTATATCTATATCTATATCTATATCTATATCTATATCTATATCTATATCTATATCTATATCTATATCTATATCTATATCTATATCTATATCTATGT